CCCCGGTACCATTGGTGTGGAAGAATAGACCTGCTTATAATGAGGTTCCTCAGAAAAAGGAGTACAATTATATGGAGGGCCTCTTTCCAAAAATTACTAATGATATTAACCAGTCATCATCTGCTTCCATCAGCTCTACCAAACCTGAAAAGGTCTATCCTCATGGTTTCAAGACACCTGGTGACTTTGATATGTCAAATAGAGATAATAAAATCAAGAATTCTTTGTCCAGTGCTAGCTCATCATTGGCATCCACTACCAGCCAGGTCAATAGCTTACAACTGGCTGAGGATGCAAGCACCAAATTTAAGGAAGAGAATCTCAGGAATGGACATGATTTACAAAAGAACATAGGGGATTTGGCTAAAAAGCAAGATAATGAGATTGGTTTCCACAATTGTAGAAAGTACACCCAGGAGAGATATATGGGGAATAATCTCAAATTAAAGGATCCGGAAAGGCCTAGCTCATTGCTTGATTCTGGCATAGGCAGGGTTGATCAACTATTTGATGATGTAGATGTAGGTGAATGTGAAATTCCTTGGGAAGACTTGGATATTGGTGAAAGAATTGGACTAGGTAATGGATATGGCTCATTGAAGTTCATTACATGTGGCAATTTTTGTTGTTATGCAAAGGTCATTTTTTGTCTATAAACTCAATGTTGACTCAGTTAATTTTACTTGTATATTGTGTTTGTTATTTGGGAATTTGTTCTTTTTTGATATTCACAAGCTCTTCTTATTCCTGATGAAAACCTTAATAGTTCAAATGCAGTAAGGTATTCTGATGTTTGCTTTGCAAGAACTCTTACCTTTTTTTTTGTGAAGTTTATTAAATTTTGTTTTCTTGTGAGTAGGTTCCTATGGAGAGGTCTACAATGCTGATTGGAATGGCACGGTTAGTTTATACTCTTTTTATACTTCAGTCTATCATAGTTTTTGCAGTCTTGTATTTCACTCTGTGCTGTCTGTATTTAGTATTAAAGGAGTTAGGTTTCGAGTTATCTAGACAATTATTTGCCAAAGGCATCATTTTGATAACTATTAGCCCTTTTTTGAACTGAACTAGAAATATACTTTTTCTAAATGATGTTTTGCACTAGACTATTTAAGAGTTGTTTACAAAATTAAAAGAATTAGTTTCTAATTTTGTGGGTGGTAATGGTTATTAAACTACAGGAGGTTGCTGTGAAGAAGTTCCTAGACCAGGATTTTTCAGGTGCTGCTTTGGCTGAGTTCAAAAGAGAAGTAAGCAACTTTTAAGCATTTAATTGCTGTCTCAAACGTGATAGTAAAATGTGTTTTCAGATATTTTAGTTTATTCATTCGTTTCATGTAGATAACTGGCCATATACAAACTTAAGACAAACATCCATGCCTAAGGTTGTCGCAGTTAAATAAATCCAAATCACTGATCCTGTTTTTTTTTTTTTCTTTTTAATTTAAGGTGCGAATAATGCGTAGACTGCGTCATCCAAATGTCCTTCTTTTTATAGGTGCTGTTACTCGCCCTCCAAACCTATCTATCATTACCGAGTTTCTTCCAAGGTAAGAGTCTGTGCCTGCATATTGTCATATTATCTTTTTAATGATATGAACTTTATGTAAAGTAATGCATATGAAATACAAGGTTGGCAGTCTATGGCCAGCAGCATGCATGTGCATTTGTGTGACACGTGGATAATCTTTGATGTTCTAAATTGTTTAAATCTTATTTGGTTTTCCAGAGGAAGCTTATATAAGATTCTTCATCGTCCTCATTCTCAAATTGATGAGAAGCGTAGAATTAAGATGGCTCTTGATGTGGTATGGAATGAATTGCTTCTGCAATTGTATTATTTAGGATGTGACAACCACCTAAGATTTGAAATCTGTTTTCATTCTGCAGGCGAGGGGCATGAATTGCCTACACACCAGCAAACCTACCATTGTTCACCGTGATTTGAAGTCTCCTAATCTTTTAGTTGATAAAAACTGGACTGTGAAGGTAGATGATGTTTCTATGTTTTAGATTTTTGTGCTTCTAAACATTTCTTGCTTTTAAAAAAGTGTTACTCCCCAAATATTCTCAATCTTGCTGTAACCATTGCAAAATCTAGTAACATTTCTATTGATCTAGCAGAGTTGGCTTGATTATTGAGCTATAATGACTAGTTCCTGTTTTCTCTTTCTGGTATTCCAACGCCTATGTATGAATAGCAGTTATCTCGGTTTGTGAATTTGTTTGTTTATGTCATATTGCTGCAAACTTTAATCTTGGCAGCTTATTTTATTGTCCACTTGTTTTTTTCTTCCCTATCTCATGACACACTGCTCTGTATATTATTATTTTCACGATGGAAATTAATAAAAAGTGTTTGATAATGAGTCTGTATTATATCAGTCTTTTTGTGTCTGCTTCTCTAAACTTTCTAGAGCTGAAAGTGTGCAATGTACCAAATGTTTCCATATCTATCTCCTTATATGTTTATGCATCACTTAGGCTATTTTTTAGTTGTAACTTGTGAGATAGTTTATTATGAATTTTCTATCCTTGTGGGGCATGGTTACACTGATTGACATATCTGATCTGGCATTTGACTGCATTTTTGCTCTTATGCCCACAATCTTATCTCATATAGAATTAAATAAGCTCACTGGCTTTAAACTCCTCAAGACTAAACCCTTAAAGAAAAAAAAGGAATAAAGGTGAGTGTCCTTTGAAACAACCTTTTTGTTGTTTTCCCAGCTAGCTGAGGTTGTTAATGTATTAAATTTGTATGCGTGATGTAATTGCTTGGAAATTGAGAACTTACGCTCTGTTTGATTTGTGCTTTTTCTTTATGCTATTTGCCTCTTGTTTTCATTTCATTTTTTAATTTTTTGCTTTTCACTTTCTATTGAAAAAGCAAATAGCAAAAAGTAAAAACACCAACCAACAGAGCCTTATCATTTACATTTTGTGGAAAAGAGTTATTGATGAAGTATGAGTACTGTGAAATTCTTGCAGTGCACCCTCTGATTGATATCAAAATTGAACTATGCAGGTCTGTGATTTTGGGTTGTCACGCTTGAAGCATAATACCTTTCTATCATCCAAATCAACTGCAGGAACGGTCAGTACCTTGACCTACCGTGCCATATATTGTATTACAAATTCTGAAGATATAGACAGAAAATGTAGCTTCTATTGTATTGATATTCTTTCCACATGTCTATGATTGAGTTGCCTTTTACATTTTAGCCTGAGTGGATGGCACCAGAAGTACTTCGCAATGAGCCCTCAAATGAAAAGTGAGTTGTTCCTCTTTGGATCGCTCGATAACGTTTCACTCTGGTTGCTTAATGTTGTGTTGGGTTTCTGAAAATATGGCAAAGATAAGAAAATGTTAAAATTACATATCTTTATAACAGTTCAGAAGTCACCATGCTAAGCTGTCAGTGCCGCCATCTATGTCTACATATAATTGCATTAAATTTCTTGTTTTAATTTTGTATGCAAATGTTTGTTGGCGTTTTCTAATCATGACTCGCAGTTAGTGATGATTAGAGTTAAAAGTGGCTGCTATTTTCTGGCAGAAACTCTGGTAAATTGCCGAGCGTAAAACTAACTTGCATCTATTGATGGATCTATAGGTGTGATGTTTATAGCTTTGGAGTTATTCTTTGGGAGCTTGCTACTCTGAGACTGCCTTGGAGCGGCATGAATCCAATGCAAGTTGTGGGTGCAGTTGGTTTCCAGAATCGCCGCCTTGACATTCCCAAGGAAGTTGATCCTTTGGTTGCAAGGATAATTTGGGAATGCTGGCAGACGTTAGTAAATCGAAACATGAATTTTACACTTACTATCCATTTTTTCAATATTAAATCCAGGCTAATCTATTACACTTATTCTTTCCAGTGATCCAAGTTTGCGGCCCTCATTCGAAGAGCTCACCAAAGCATTAAAGCCCTTGCAGCAGCTCATTATGCCTTCGCATCAAGACCAATCAAGGTCGCCACTGCAACAAGAGATTTCAGTAAATTCTACACCCTGAAATGAAATGTCTCGGTTCCTCAATTGTGAATAAGAAGCATTTTGTGAATAAGAAGCATTCTGTTTCTTTCCCTTCATTGAGGGTAATGTATTTAAAATTTCAGAAAAGAAATAAAAAAGAGAAGCAAGAAGAGAATGGTTTGTGTTATATAACATACATTTTGCTGCTGCTGCTAAAAAAAAAAAGCAGTAGTTTTGTTTGTACAGTCGGATGTCCATAGTTTTGTCCAACCGAACAAAAAGTTTTTGTAATGTATATTTCAACAAAGGGAAATTTTAGTTCCATTATTATTAAATTATCTGTTACCAATTATGCAGCAATTAAGCTTGAGTTTGCAATTTTCTTTGTCCAAGTGGAGGAGCAGGATGATGGCTGGAACCAATATAGGATTCAAAGCGTAAAGGCATCTCTACCCCACCATTGATCGTTGTCCATACGCAAAGTTACATGCCTATGGACCTTATTTACCGGTCTTGAATGACCGGTCTTGAATGAAAACGGCTCGATTTTAAGTAGCTCTAATTATTTAAAACATGATTATAAAAATAATAAGAAAATATACTGTTTAAAATTTTAATAAACACTATAAATATGTTTAATAAAATAAAAAAGTATTTTATAATACAACTATAAAAATAATACAAAATATACTGTTTAAAATTTTAATAAAAACTATAAATATGTTTAATAAAATAAAAAAAATTTTATATTTTCATATTGATATGAATTATAATACATAATTTTTGTGTAAAATATAATACAAATATATAAATTATCAATATTTTATATGACATAAGCATACGAATTATTAGATTTAATCTCAATGAAAATGATGATACCTAATCACTTTTTAAAAAAAATTAAAGCATCATCTCTCTATGTTTAAGTAATTTATTGATACATAAAAATTTTTGAGAAAGTCAAATTTACTAAAAAGAATCTTATCTTGCAATTTCACAAGAGGCTCTTTCAATAAAGAAAAGAGAAGCTAATTATAAATTCAAATATATTCATCCCATCAAGAAAGGAACAAAGTAGATCCAATCAAGAAACAATTCTTACGTCTTTAGACATTACAACAACTATACTACAACACTCTTTTCACCTAGTCAAGCACTTTTGTACCAAAAACTGATGGCTCGATTATGACCCTTCAGCAGCATGAAAATCTGAGGACAAAAAACTATATAGAAACAAATCTCTCAATTTGCCCTTGACATGGGCATATTTCCTCAACAACCCTTCCTTTTGGAACCCAGCTTTTTCAACAACCCTTTGGGAGGCCTTATTATCCACATCAACCAAAGCTTCAAGCCTTACCACACCTGGGAATTCAACAAAAAATTGAGACACTGCCATTTTCACTGCTTTTGTAGCAATCCCATGTCCCCAATACTTCACTGCAACACCATATCCAAAACTGGCCCTACACTTGTCATCACCCGAGAAGGGGAAGATCGAAACGAACCCGATCGAACGGTCATCCATGCATATTGATCTACGCCATGGGTGGGGTATACAAGCATCCTTGATGTGTGTCAAAGCTTCTTCTTTGGAAGTTAATGTCTCCCATCTACTAGGGTTTCTTGTGACTTGATCATCATCTGCAAATGAAAGAAAATCATCTGCATCTTCTAGCTTGAATGGGCGAAGTGTTACCTTTGATAAGTCGATCTCCATCTAATTGATTTGTAATATGAAAGTATATGGTGATGAAGGTGATTAACATATAGAAGATGAGCTTGTTGGTCAACTATATATATATATATATATATATATATATATATATATAGTATTGTCTTATTGGAAAGCTACTTTTGAATATTGTATGTTAAAGATTATGTTTCTAGGAAATTTCCCATAATTTTTTTAAAAAGAAAATTAAGAGTAATAATGATTATATCGATTAGATTTGGTTTAATTTTTTTAGATATTGTATAACATTATAAATTTTTAAATTTCGAGTCAGACTAAATCAAATTTTATTGATACGGTGCAGTTTGATTTATCAATCTTTAAATTTTAAATTTTTATATATTATTTTAATATAAAAATTTAATATATTTAAATAGATTTTGATATAAAATTATTATTTTTATTTTACAAAAATTTAAAAAATATATAAAAACTAAAAATTATATATAATTAAGTTCGATTTAATTTTTTTTTTTTTGTTTTTTACCTCTCAATCTAAAATTCAATATGAATTTAATATACACATTTAATATTTAAATTTGATCCAAATGGAATAAAAAAATAAATTTAAACTGAACCGACACTATTATTTCGATTTTTAATTTTTTTTAATTTTTTTCACCCTTAAAAAAATAACAAAATTGCTAGTATATATAATGGATGACTCACTAAATTCAGCAATTCACAAACATGAACCAAGCTAAAAAATTCGAATATTCGGATCAATGATAAAGTGTTAGGGTTTTGGATCAATCTAAATGAGTTAGATCCGATTTTCATTCTCCAAATCTCATATTTTATATAAAAAAAATATAAAACATAAAGATCAAAATAAGTTTAAAAACTCCACCGATCCATAAATCATGCATTTGGTAAAAAAAAGAAAAGAATGTTATAAGGGAGACAAGTTGTAATTCTCCATCAATGTCATAGAATAATAAATTATTTTATTTTGTTAACCTTCATGATTGGTATCATGATGGATATACATATTAAAATCTCTCCCAATTCCTCTCCCATACAACAATATGACCAAATTTGTATTAGCTCCATTGCCATCTTCGCTGAATGCAACTTTGGAAGTAGTAGCAATTGTGCCTTATAGCCTGTTGGCAGTTAATTTTTGGACTCTTCCTTCTGATCTGATCCATGAGTTTGTTGAGAAGGAGAAGGAGAAGGTGCATCACTGGGAAGGCGTTTTAATTTTAATTCTGAATCAAGCAAATGTGAAGACAGTTATATAAGCAAGCATCAATTACATATTTTTAGTTCATCCGTAACACGATTATAATCAAACATCTCGACGAAAAATTATATATATGTATGTATATGTATATATATGTATGTATGAATGAATACCTCCATCAACATTACCGTGGGGGGTATTTTTGAATGCTGCGATTGGTGGAGAGCAAGAGAAATCACACTTCAAATCACACCAAATTCCAGGGGGTGACCCACATCCTTTCAAGCAGTCTTTGTAACAAGCTTGATAGTCTAAATCTGACTTTGCTACATGAGCTATGCTGATTAACATTATTAATGCAGAGCACAAAAACAGCTTCATCACTGAAAATTTTGCCATGTCTTCCTGATCAAAACCCTTTATTTGTTTTGGTTTGGTCTTGATGTTGGAAGATATTGGCAATTTATCCCATACACAATGAAGTTTTTCTTGGAGAAGAATTGGATAAATCTTTAGTATACAGAGGAAAAATGAAGGGCAGGATTCTGTTAAATTTTTTTTCTAAATTTAGTTATCTTTATTATTATTTTTAGGATAGTTATTTTTATCTTTAGTTGTCGAAGAAGTCTAAATTATTATGTGAGGTTTTGATTTGTACACATATTTGGCAGTTTCTAATACTGGAAAAAGGGATCCTTTTGACATTGTCATTATGTCCATTTTTGGATTATGAAAAACCAAAAGTTTAGGAAGAGGGTTCATTTGGCATATTTGGCAACTATTGAGATATTTCTGCAGAATTCTTGAAGTTGAGAATTCTAAATTTAATTGACTTTGGATATGAGAAGGGATGAAAAAAAAAAAAAAATCCAAAATCGATTCAAAATCATCATGATCGGTTTAAATTAAATCGATTTTTTTTATATTTGATTCATATCAAATTCAGATACTAAATGTATATATTAAATTCGAATAAAATTTTTAATCAAAAGATGAAAAAAAAATCGAATCAAATCAAATTATATTTTTTAATTTATATATATTTTAAATTTTTATAAAATAAAATTAATAATTTTATATCAAAATTTACCTAAATACATTAAAATAATATATAAAAAAAAATTTAAAAATCGATAAACTAAATCAACATGTAAAATTCAATTCAAATTATATAAAGATTTGATTTTAATTTACATCAAATTTTAAAATTTTATAATATAATATAATATCTAAAAAACTCGAACCAAATCCGATTCCATCCAAACCAATCACCTATTTTTCTGACAAAAAATAAAGAATGCTGGTAAAAAATCATAAAAGAACTGCAAACAAGGATTCAGCATTGGACTATTTCTCTCAAAATTACTACAGATACTGCAAAAGATCTAACATTTTGATGTAGAGGATTGGTTCAAATCCCACAACTAGGCATAACTATGTCAGAAACGCCATGGTGGGAGACAAAATCTAATGTCTTATGTATGTCCTTGTCTTAAGATAACAAATTAAAAAGCTTGTTTTGTTATAACTATAGAAATTATTATTACTGGTTAATTCCAACCATCTGAGCCCTCAGCTTCGTCAGGCTTTGGAATGTAGGGAACAGCTTCTGCTTCAAATGAACAATTCCATGCCCCTACTTTGGAAAAGGGATCTTCTGCTTCTTCATTATATAAGCCAGTTCCAGAAAATGGTTCATCAAAGTCATGGTTCTGCCTTTCGGGTAGGGGGCAGCCCTGGTAGGAGTTGTTTTCAGAACAATGCCACAAGAGCTTTTCCCAGTAAGGGTCCTGCAATTCAGAATCAAACACCAATAATATTTACAGGCTAGCTGTTCGATGATCATCTCCATAAAATGAAAATAGAACTCGAATTAGGTACCGCTAGGCATGTGTAAATACCTTACAGACAATGTGTGGATTTCCGACAATGACGAGCAACGATCTGGCCCGAGTAATCGCAACATTAAACCTTTTCGGATTGCTGAGAAAACCAAGACAGTAAGTTCTGTCAAACTCATTATGTTTGACAGTTGACCTTACTGTAGATACAATAATGACCTCTTTCTCTTGACCCTGAAATTGTTCGACACTGCCTACCTTTATATCCAGCAAGTCCCAGGTTTCAAGCACTTTCTTGACCTTGAGGACTTGCTGTCGATAAGGTGTTATTACTCCGATATCTGCCTCATTTAGATCAGTGCTTGCTCTTAACTTATTGATGATGTCGACGACCTTGCTTACTTCAATTCGGTTAAACCATGATGGATTATTGCCTTCTCTCTCGTCGCAGCCTTGAATGCCAAAGAATAGAACGGGAAATTCTTTATTTGGAAAGAAATCCACCTTAGAAGTTATTGAGAAAGAATTATCCTCTTTACACGCAATCAACTCGCCTTTGTAGAAAAGCCTCGAAGGGAGATCTAGAATTGCTGGATGACAACGATAATTCCTCACTAACTTTGTTATGAAATTATCATCTTCATTGGAGTAGCATTCGCACTCAAAAAGCCTTTCAAGATAAGATTTTCCTAATCCAAATGCGTCAGCATCTTTTGAAAAAATAACAGGACCAAGCTGCTTTGGATCTCCAGCAAGGACAACAACTGTTTCCTTTCGGCAAAGGTTAGCAATAGGAACCATGCTTTCAGGTTCTGATGCTTGGCCAGCCTCATCAAGGAAAATGTGGGAGAAATGACCACGGTCCACACCTTCTGCGTGAAGTAGAGATGAACTCATGTAAGTTGATATGATAATTCTATAGCGCTTGAGGGCTTCCAGTGGAGGACATTTGAAAACGGACTCCTCAAAGAAGGAAAAGCGAATATAATCAGGTGGAACATCCTCATAGGGACGGCTGGTAGCATTTAGCCTAAATACTTCAGTGTCTTTAACTTTCACATTCTCGTTACTGATAAGTCTCTCTAATATGTGATCTGCAGCACTATTTGAAGCAGCACATACAAGAACCCGGCCATTTTTTCTTCTTGTATATATCTGCAGAATTGCTTCCACCAAAGTCATGGTTTTACCAGTGCCAGGGGGCCCATAAATCACATAGGGAGGAGCTCCTTTGCAAGCAAGTATCATCTCAACAGAATGCATCTGCTCCTCATTCAGAGTACCAGTACAAGGCACAAATGGGCCTGCTTTCATCAACGTCCTTTTGGTTGATTGAGATGGAAAAAGAATATTGTCCGGTAAAGTCTCTGCTGCTTCAACAGCTTGATACAACCTCCTCATGTTGACCCTGTTATATGTGAAATGAACATTGTATAAGTTTCCATCCTGGTGAAGGGTGTGAAATTCTTTTGCAAATTTCAAGAGCACTTCATCAGCCTCGACACGATAGATGTAGCCCTGAAACACCCCAAAAACACTCTTCAAAGTTTGGTTCAAAGTATGCAATAATGACATAGTGAATGCTGAAAAGTTAACTTATTGAGTCTTGGTTATTAAAGCTCTAAAAGAAAACATCCATGAAAATAAATTCTCAAAATGCGGAAAGATCAAAAGAGTTATAAGCAGCCTCTTACGATGGCAAGAAACATCTAAACTAACAGTTAGAGAAACAACATGAAGAATTTCCCTATATATCTAAATACAAAAAAGAATACAAAAACAGAAAGGATCTCATATTGTTTAATGTTTTTTAGACATACTAATCTTATATGCCTTGAGAAGACCTCAAAAAATACAATTACCCAATATTTTTCTACTTTTCAACATTGGTTTATGCAAAGATACGCTAATTGGCAAATATTTATGAATCCACCATCACATTTATATGTGCTGACAGCATTGAAACCAATATTTTGTCCATATCTTTTTTACATGTGAAATTTGTCCACAAATATTTAGCCAAAACATTCTCTCACCACCTGCTGCCCATAGGTATTAGTTATTGCAGAAGAAAATTGCACAGACCAGACAAATTGGGAAACCTAAAGGGTACATTATCCAAGAAGGATAAGCACAATACTTGTTGTCGTTGTTCTTTCTTTCCGTCTTCTTTTACATATATAACAATTAGTCATAAGCAAATTGCTCAAGTTGAGCATTGACTAGTGTTTAGTGTAAGTTTCAACCAGAAAAGGAAGCTAGATTAATTAAGCTTTACAGTTACATCCTAAAAACAACAGCAACAAATAATAGTATTAACAGCCCTCAGCTTAATAAATTACTGTTTACGGTAAATACTCCAACGATCCCAACAAACTACTTCAAAATTTGCATTGCAAAAAGCTATTGAAGTTCCTCTTCAAGTCGAGCATGGAAAGAGACTTTAATTATCCCAAAAAAATAAAAAAAGAAAGAAAAGTTATTGAAGTTCAGACTTGCTTTATAGTCCATTTTTATGGGCTGCTGCAGGGCAGGGGCAGGCATAATCGTAAAATCCCTTAAAAAAAAAAAACTCTCCTGCAAATTGTCGTGACTTTAGTCTGTCATTTTTACAATAGCCTAGAACCAATACTTTTAATTATTTTCTCAAATATGGTCATTTACATAGCATCCCTGACAAAGTTTCAACATGCACCACAGATCAAAATTTCTCAATGGTGTTAAAAAGCTAAAATGTGTACATGCTTCATGAGATGAGATGTTGAAAGAAATAACATACCTGATATGCAGAATCATCTGAATTGCCAGAGGCATTCTTCGAAAAAATATAATCGCCATGTACAAGTGAAGGCCTCCTCTCAGCTAGCCCAGGGACCTCAAGAGCAAGCAACTGCAGTCCTTTCCTCCTCATCATGACATGTTCCATGTTATGAGATCTCATATCTTCCTGAAATGGAACTAATGAAGTTGAAAACTAACATAAAATGACCATATAATATTATCATCTTGACAAATCAATCATTAATAGCTACCTCTAGATGCAGCTCTTCCATTATGAGCAACGTACTGAAGAAAGCACCATAATTCTCCTTAGTCAAACCTTCTGAAAGAACATCAGGCACATGCTTATTCTCTATTAACTCTCTGATATTTTTTGGAATTGGATATTCTGAGAGCTTATTCCATCTATATCTTTGGGTTGCTGGCCTGGCAGGACGAGAGGAAACCACATACTTATCCACGGCAAATTGCTTTCTTCTTGGAGCTCGTCTGTATGGTATGGTAGAAGCAATAGACTGGGAGATATTATCTTCAGCCAACAGAAAGACCACACGTTCAATCCTATTATCCTCTACATCAAAATGTACCACAGATGTGTGCAAACCCATGTCCTTTGGCTTGCAAGACAACCAAATGGTAAGAGTCTGATGCGATTGAAGTACTCTATCCTCAAGAGAGTATCCCTCTAAGAAACCTTGCTTATTTTCCAACTTTGAATTGGCTGAAGGTGGTTCCATTAGAGACAAAGTAAATGAATCTGCAGGATTTGAGCAGAATATCCTCACTCCCCAAAGTTCAACAGGCTCGTTAGTAGTGTTCTCTAATGTAATTGGCCACATGGAAGTATGTCCAACAAGAATGGATTGAGGCTTCCCTTGATGGAAAGGAAATGGAACTGAGATCATTACTGGCCCCTCTTCATTTATGTCATAACTTTGCACAGACTTATCATCAGCAAAGTCAATAAAGCCGATCTCGCCTTTATCACTTATGACTGAGCATTCGTCATCCAAACCATCTTTCCAACCTGAACTCATAGTTGACCGATATTGATGCTAACGGAGATCCTGAGAAGTATCAAAGACAAAGAATGGTAAATCTCAATATCTGATATCTTCCAAGAAGACTCACAACCTATCACAATATCTATACACACACAAGATTACAGCATCCATAATCCAGTTAATTGTAACTCTTGGCAGATAAGCAATACTACAAATTTAACAAAAAAATCATCTATCCTGATGCAAGACTTCCGACATTACTTTCTGTTACAAACATTAATCTGCAACCCTGTGAAAACTACATAATTTTGCCAATGAAACATAATAGAAAGGATTGATAACACATTATAGGCCTGTAATCAAACGCTATTAAGCAACTGGAAAATTTTACCATTTAAGTACAGGGAATATCTAACCTGATTCACTCATCCAAGAAAATTATACTCTCTATATCTAAATCTGATTCAACTAGCATTTCCAGTAACTCCTAATGCATTGACACAAAGAACAACAGTGTTATTAGATTTTTCACCTAATTCAAGAAAGATATTTACACAATTTTTTTGCATCATAAAAATGTTCAAACAGGTTTAATGTTAAACATACTTGTCCAAGTCCCCACAAAGTAATTCATCAGTACTAAAAGTGATTATAAGATGAGAAAAGAGAAACAGTCATCCCAAGCAGAATCCATTATCAAACAAGAAAAAATATTTTTTTTAAAATAATAAAACTTGAAAGATGCTAAGAAAAAAAAAACCCATGATCAATCTTTGGAAAAAGGATTAAAAAAAAAAGGAAATTGACAAGCAGTAAAGTACCCACCTTTGATCAAAAGCACAACAAAGTTGATATGAAAGTTGTCGAAATTTATGAACTTCAGATGAAAAAAAAAAACACCAAAGAAAACCCAATTGACTAAAATGAACAATCTAACCCAAGGCACACTGACAACTGAGAATTTCAGTGAGACTTATGTTTGTTTTATGTCTCTCAAGAACAGAAAACTTATGAGAAACTGTGAAAAAAAAGTTATTGTAAAATTTAACTGAAATTAAATTTCTCGAAAAAAAAAAAAAACTTTTGCTTTGCCAAATGCTACTTGGAAATGAAGTAATCCTGAAAAAAAAAATTATTATTATTCCCATCAAAACTGTGCTTGATTATACCGTGGTTACCTTAGTCTTGTAAGAATGGGACCCATAAATTGTGAAGTCCAAGAAGATGATGACACGTCTGATGAAAACGAGTTTGGTTGGATCCAATGATGACGTGGCAATCCCTGAGAGGACTCCTGGTCTTGAAGTCAACAAGGGAAAAGAAACGGTGTTTGTGTCTTCTGGTTGTCCACCTGTCACTGCTATCCTTCAGGCCTAAGCTGTTGCCTTTTAAAAGGTAAAAGAAAAAGAAAAAGCCATAAAAGAAAAGTAAAATTTCTTAATTATGTTGACTAAGACTTTGTTGACAATTTCCCTTTTTTTTTTTTTAATTCTTTGAGAATCTTTGTTATTTATACTTTTTATTTTCTTAATTTTTTTATTTTTCTAAAACTACATGTTTTTATGTATATCTACGTAAAAATATTATTTATAATATTTTAAACGTCACTAAAATATTAAATTACCAGTATGAAATATTTATAAATTCAAATAAATATAAATATATTTTATTTTATTATTATTTAGTTAATAAATTTTAAAATATTATTAATATATTAAATTTAATAAATAAACAAAAATCAAACATATTTATGAACCAAGGTATAATAAACTTAAAAGAGTTATAGAAGTTTTTATTTTAACCATTGAATTATTAAACAAATATTTTTCTCCTGTTTATCTTGTTTATAACAATAAATCAATTCTATTTTTGCTATATATATCAGCATAAAAATCAAATATTTTTTTAAATAATAAGAATCAAATATTTAATTGAAATGTAAATTAAAAGCCATGTCCATGTATAATTTCATTTAGCATCCCATTGTATCTATTTCGGCAATCTTCCCAGCAACGATTTTCCCCTTTGCAGTTCCACACATTGCGGCAGTCTTTTGCTTGTGTCTTCAGCATTGTTTTGTCATCTGTTTAAGTTCAAAAAAATACAGCTCAATTAAATAAAGGCATGTAACAGATTAAATCATGATTCAAAATGTCCAATATAGATACCTACTGAAGAAGCCATGAACAACCTCACCTTGGGACTTCATTTGGTTCACACCAAGGTTGGTCCATGAAACAAAATTTAACTTTGAATTAGCATGTTATAGAATTAGAGTGCAGTTGGAAGTGCAACGGATTCTTATCGCGTTAGAGTGTTGTTTTGATGTTAAATTTATGAGTCCAATGTTGTTTTGATTGTACTCCAGCGCGGTGGAACCTCCCACCTTGCTGGAGTGCTATTTTGGCAATGGATCCAAATGCACCCTTGATAATCTTAACCAGAAATGACATGATAAAAGCAACCATAGCATGACAGCAGTTTCCAGCCAGTGAATTGACTGAGCTATTTCCCACTCAAATTAACAAACGGAAGAGTTAAATTTTGAAAAAAAAATAACAGAATTATTTGTGTCAAATTTCGAATTAAGGGTTAAAATCTTGAAATTACAAAAAAAATGAAACAAAGCGATTAAGATAAAAGTAAAGAATATTTTTTACTTTTGCAGTGACGTTTATTAGAGGTTGAAATATAAGAAATAAAAAAAAAAAAAGTGGAATAGAATGAGAATGGAATGATAATATCTAAATGTCCAATAAAAAATAAAAAATCTATGAGATAAGAAGGTGATGTAATTAAATTAGCTCAAAAATAAAAAATATTCGTAATTATCTGTTAACAATATTTAATAAGGCGAATGACCAATATGACTTTTGGATCTAAGAATACCCATAACAAGAATCATGCAATCTTCTTGACAAAGATCATTTCCATTGCAATTTCAAGCTTTGTGACATTCCTTTGCTTCTGCCATAGCCACCATTTTCTCATCTGTTCGGAGAAGAAGAAAAGGCCATTAGAACATGGATTTAAGCGAATTATAACTCTTTTTTTTTTTTTTACTTATTTATTTTACTCATTTTAGTGTACCTGAAACAAAGACAAGGAGGGGACAAGAAACAAGCAAAAATGGAGAACTTTTCCATTTTCCAGAAGACTTTTTAGTGCTTTGTGATGTCTTATAAGTTATAATAATTTATTTACATGCGAAGCAAAACAAATAAAATAAAATTATGCTTTATTTATAGAAAGAGTTCAATTTCAAAACGATGTGACGACCTAGTTTTAAATCGATTTGATGATGCAATAATATCAATGAAAATATCTTTTCACCTCTCATCCAAATGAAGCATTAGCAGATAATTAAATATCAAATATTGTATTAATTTGACATAAGTAGATTAATTAATGTAAGATAATCTTGGCAATATTTAGGAAAATTCAATGTCCACTTTATTTTTCTTTTATGTCATTTTTTGCCAGGTTGAGTGGGGGATATATCTGCTTATGTTTAACCCTATAATATCTTCATATTGTGCAAAATAATTTCGACTACATTTTTAAATTTGAGATAGAGATTGGATTAATGCTACCAAAGATGATATGATCACCTTGAATTAAAACAACAATGGTTCTATGTAAGACTATGGTTTTAATTGAACATATGGACAATGAGAAACAAGAACAGAAACGATGAAGCTTGAGCTTGAGGGTGCCTTGCAATTAGCTATTTCTAGCTTTAGAGTATAATGGAAGTTGATGAGCTACAGGAAAAAGAATGTGATTGATCTTGTAGAGAGAAGAGAAGTATTAAATTCAATTTGTGCAATTATTATTTTGAACTGTCACAATTCAACTTCTAAAAAACAACATAAACTCTTATCCTTAAGCAAAAACTTTCTATCGCACAATGTTGTCCCATTGAGAACATGAATCAAGAGACCTGTTATAAAGTTTCATCTGCAATTGCATTTGGATTCTTTCTACCAGTTTGAGGACTTCTGTAAGCCAAGGCCGGTGTAAGGTTCTCATCCGTTTTTTCTTCGAATCTATTGGTCCTTGCCACAGCACCTTCTCATAATAAAAGCATCAAAAGAAACTTAAGTTAATTAGTTTAAAGAATGAGTCGTGAGAATTTATGCAGGTATTCTCCAGATATTCTGGATGCTATCAATATACACTAATGTTGCACAAGTATAAACATTACAATAGATGAGTGTAGCTAAAAGATTAGAAATAAGTGTATCTGTGGAAAGCTCTGAGTATAGTGCCAATGGAGGATAAATGGATAGAAAAGCATCCAAGTTAAATTTGGAGTCATAAATAAACCAGTAAGAAGAATATATCCTACTGAAAGATACCAACTTTGAAAGATAGAGGGAAGACCAAAGATGGTACGGGTTGAAACTATCAATAAAGACATTGCTTATGGTGATCTCGAAAGATTAACCAAAATTGAACATAATAGAAGAATAGGATCTATACACTGAGTTGCTAACGCTTCGTAGTTAGTTAGTTGTTGCTATTGTACACTAGATCTTATAATTGTTGTTGACAAAGAAGAAAGCAAGGACAAATTAAAAGATTTAAAGCACCATCTCTGGTCAGAAAGAACACTTGTTAAAGTCTGCTTCAAAAGAATTTGTGAACCTGAAGAGAAGAAAGGCAGTGGAGGAGAAGAAGGTTTAGCTCAGAAAGAGGCATAATCACGTATCAAGAGAGCTAAAGTAGACACCCAAAAATTTTTGGAATGGAAAAATCCTCCGATATATATTTTGCTTGGGAACATTTAGGTAAGGTGAAAATAGCAGCAGAAAGTATAAATAGTTGATTTAAAACTAGCCCATATGTGGCAACCTCTAAATATGATATAATTCTGATTTTAACTGACTCATCTAACAGACCATGAACATAAAAGCCATGAGATCAAAATTTTGTGGCCCAAAAGAGAGACAAATAGTGTGCTGAAGTACCTTTTGTATCTCTTCTTGGAACCACATGGACAAAGCGCATTTCTGCTTATTTGCCCACTCTTTGCCATGTTAGACCTGGCAAGATCCAATGGTGTTGAACCCATCAGCTTTTGCACCTGCAAAAGCAAAACAAAATGGATGACATTTCCCTTAGAGAAAGAGAGAGGAAGGAGTTGCATAATACTCATTACTGATATTTTAACTGTGAGAGAAAAATTCCTGTGAACTCAAATGCAAATTTCAGCAATTGCAAATGAATGAAGATAGACATCTCAGTCTTTCATGCAATCAACATTGAACCAAAAGACTAGTAAGCAGTTTGGCAGATCAAACGTGCTAGAAAAACTTAAAGATATGAAAACAGATTTAAAAGAAGCAATCTATTATGATCTTTTCTATTCAGATAACATGCATATTAGCAAAAGGCAACAGTGATTCCCCAACAAATATCTTCCTTTTCTCTTTCAAATAGCTCATCGTACATTCAGCACCCTATCCACTGGGCAGCAACCACAATACCAAAGGTATCAGACCACATTCTGAGCGTTAAGCATTGAGACACAATTTTAATCATTAGACTTATTCAACCAAAAAAAACTGGAAAAAAAAAAAAAGAAGTGTCAAAACTACCTCAGCAAAGCTCTTTGGCATCGGTTTCCCTTCCTCCTTCAACTTAACCATCTTCTTATGCGCTTCTTTAGCCCAAGTGAACTTCGCAAGTGCATTCTCAACATCCAACAACGTACAATCACACTGCTTTGCAGCTTCTTTCTTTTGACTCGGTTGAAGATTCTACAAAAAAATTAAGAAACCTAAATACCCAATCAGCATATTCACCCACAAGCTTCTTTAACCATAAACATAACAAAAACTACATCAATAACAACTAACAAGTTCGCGAATAAAAACATGTTTGTGGAGGTAAAAACCAACCTCACCGGTCGGATCACAACCTCCAAGATACCTAATGATGGCTTCTTGTTTCTCGAAAACATCCGAAAAGGTCGCATTGCTGCTTCTACCAACTATGTATTGCTTAAATTTCCCTAATTTTCTAGCATTCTTCAATTCATCAGCAAATCCTAAATCAACAACATTGATTTTTCGATAAATGTGCAAAATTCCAAGTTAAAGTAACAGGGATGTGATAGAGAGAATTAATTAATAGTATTAAAAATGGAATTTGTATTCAAATTAAATTAGGGTGACTCACGTAGGAGAGTGAATGATTCTGCACTGGTTTTCTGATCATCTGGAAAGGCCTTCTTGCCGGTGAAGACCCCTTTGATCGAGTCCATCCATGAGGCGTGGACAGGTGAGGTGGTGAAGATCGAACGGTTCTGTGATAAAAGTAAGTGACGGTCGGGGTAACTGTATCCCGAGGAGAAGCACGGAGAGGTGAGGTTTCTATTGGAAATGCTGTTTAGGAATCTAGAAGAAAGCATTATTTTCATTTTTATGGAATTTGAATTAAAAAAAAAAGAAAATTCTTTCTTTTTTGAAAAACAAATGAAGTTTTGCTCTGTTACTGGCTTTCTGTAAATGAACTAGGGTTTAGCTGATCAGATTTCTGGGGTTTTTAGGGGAAGAGATGTTCCAAAACGCAGCGTTTTCGTTTTTTTACCCCCAATCACCAAAACGCTGCGTTTTGATATAAAACAAATTTTCTATTTTCTGAACCTAGTTTTGATATAAAAATGAATGTCTGAAACCAAAAAGACAAAAGTAGGTTAAAAATTTACCCTTTTTTTAACAAATATGCTAATTTAAAAAATCAAAATAAATTCTTTTATTTATGCTATAAACTCATTCTTTTTACTTGATCATCATGCTTAATACAAATATATTTACTATTAGTTAAAATTAATAAAAAAAAAAATTCAATCCTCTTAGTAAACATCTTCCAAAATATTTTAAATAATCAAAATCATTATCCTCAACAACAGCCGAAGAATAAGATTTTGTAGATGAAAATGAATAAACAAATTGATGAAATTGTTGAACTGATGTTTACCATATGCACCAATAGTTGTGTGATCCATCGATAGAATATTCATCGTATACGCTAAAAATCATGTGATGTATTGATAGAAGACTAGATTTTTAATTTTAGCGACAGAGATTGATATGGTTTGTTACTTTAGTTGCAGTGTCCAGAGTTCAATCATGTAATCTCAAGTATAAAATAAGAAAAAGTTGGCATAGGCAAAGGCCAGATTGTGAAATTCAAGTTTGGGAAGGAGGAAGAAATTAACAGCAAATTGATTTGCAAATAATATTCAAATTCCAACTAGCTAATACATCACTTGACAGCCAAAAAAAGCATGAAGCTTTAGCTTTTGAATTGTTCTATTCAGCTTGAATACCTACATTAAGGTTACACCAGCTACCTTTTCTTGAGAAAAAGAAAATACAAATAAGGTTGATGTACTGCACAAAAAGATATGAACCATTCAAACAAAAATCTCTGCAATTACAGCACCTTCTGTTTCGCATCCATTGATCAATGGTATAACAGAGTTAAGCTTCCATGAGAATGGTGGAATTAACCAAAAGGTGACAATCTGTATCTCACTTCTGGCTTGCTGAATAGTAAATAACAAATCCTAACAAGACTGTATTATAACATCTAAACTTTAGACCGTCTGAACTCGAACCAAATCTCATAGTGATTGAACAGTAAACTATCATGTGTATGCTTTCCTAGATACTCAAGCCCTAAACTCGCAAGCCTCTTTGTGCATTCATCCCCTCCCGATAACAAATCCTAACAAGACTATATAAGAACATCTAAGCTTTGGACCGTCTGAACCCGAACCAAATCTCATAGTGATTGAACAGTAAACTATCATGTGTATGCTTTCCAATATACTCGAGCCCTAAACTCGTAAGCCTCTTCGTGCATTCCTCCCCTCTGAGTCGAGAACAAAACTTTATGTTATGCGAAACAAATATGCGCCCATCATAAGGCTTCAACCTATTCACTAACCTCTCAAGTCCAACCCACACAAGCCTATCCGGCATATGAAGAAAAACAGCACTAGCATATATCAAATCATACACAACATCTGATCCAAACTTTGTGAAATCCATATCCTCACCACGCACAATTAAAGGTCGTTTATGTAAAAGCCCTTGTGAAGGAAGCTCATACCTAAATGCAGCCATCAAGGAAAGCTCATCCCTTTCAAGACAATGGAAATGCTCTGGCTTAAGATACCGAATAAAATGCAATCCCACACGAAGTGTTCCACAACCGATCTCAAGCACGCGGGAATCAGCAGTTAGGTGGCTAGATTCAGCAAGGAACTCAAACACATCCCGGCCTCCAGCCCATGGCTCACCATAATTACTATGGTGCTCTTCAACAAGAAGCTCACCAGGGCATGGAAAAGCTGTGCGGTTGTTTGCTTCAGATCCTTCATAGTGTGAAATACCCTTAAAGCTAAAAATTTGATTATTAATTTGAGAAACAACACACAAATCCAAATACAATTGTTTGATATTAGAGTAAAATCATGCACTTTTTACTCACAAAACCCTAACTTTAAATTTTGAAGCATTCAAAAAAATTATTTGCTCGTATATTCAAATTCCAAATTTTGCCTTTTTTCACTTCCAAAAGCAACAAACAAACAATGCCCTAATTCTACAATCTAAAGAATAAAAAGTAATTGAATTTCACTTCAATAAGTTTCTCTTCTTGACTGCTCTCTAATTTAATATCCTTTATTAATCCTTCTTCTTTTTTTTTTTTTTGCTCAATTTTAGCTTATTTTTGAAGAAAAGAAACAGAAAAAAACACATATATTGAAAAAGAAAGGAATGAATTTGAGATTTACTTGTTGAGATCCTCTAATTGTTGAGCGCGAGTTCGAGGATTGATCCCTTTACGAAGCACATTATCTTGCATATGTAATCCATTAGCTTGGATCTGATCTTTTACCCATCCTATGTCCTCTCTGCTCGTCGGAATCCTCCGATTCCCAACTTCCTCCTCCGCTGAACCGCCAGATACGGCGGCGGCGGTTGCGATGGTGCGACTGGGAGTCGAAGGAGGGCAAGCGCAAGGAGAAGACGAAGAGAGGGAAGATAAGAGGAAGAATAAGAAGATTGCGGCGGCGGAGACTGAGAGAACTAAAACTGGAATTGTTATCACTATTCCTTTTTGTGATGGTGACGCCATTTGTGATTCTCCTTTACTGCTACGATCGCCTCTCTCTCCCTCTCGGTTTTGGAGATTGGAGCAGAGCTAAATGACGTCGTTTTCTTCTTTTTTTTATATTTACAGTGGGAGACGGTTGTCGTCACGTGTTTAGCAGAGTGACGTCGTTTTCCATTTTTTTTGTTCTGATATATACTACTTATTTTTTTAAAAAAAAAGGGGGGTTGTCGTGTCATGTTTAACAACCGCTAAAGATGTTGTCGTTTTGGTGGAGATCAAGAGACAGATCGATGTTAGATCTGGAAGGAGTTGTACTAGGATGAAGGAGACTGTACGATATAATGATATGTAACTGATTAAAATTACATTTTTCTCCTTTTTAGTTTGCTCCATTTTCTTTTAAATATGAGAAAAAAACCATATAAAAAACTTAGTTAAAAAATGTCATCAGTGGAGCTGAGTGGTGTGTTCAGATATGTGGGAGGTGAGCTGAGGTGAGCAGTGAACACGCCAATGGCGGGACTGCTTAGGCACATGGCTCAATAGTCACATAAACATCACAAAAAAACAAGTTATCCTATAATAAACATGCGAAAGGGAAGCTATATATGAAATATCCGTGCATTTGATTTAATGATTAATGCATAAGTATCTTTCGAATACTATGACAGATGAGAATCTACTCCCTTCCTGGATCATACCATGGTGAGATGCTCCTAGGAAAATTGAAGCAAGCCATTGGAAAATTTATCAGGGAAAAAGTAAGTAAAAAAGAGTTTCTATTGCAGATGGTACAAGGCAGGAATCTAGGCTAGCTCTTTGATATATAAACATCATTTGGGTTACAAGAATCATGTTAATGAATAGTTAACAGTACATATATCAAACCTAAAAAAACCATTTCAATACAGGGATCTTGTGAACAAGTGTTATGTTAACAGATCCCACACAAGCCTGCAAACCACCCACAATACAAAAATATATGATGGCACAAGCACAGATCACTCAATAGAAACAGGAAAAGAAAAACGACATTGAAAATGACTCAGCAAAAAAGAAAATGAACACCTTATACATTTCATTTTTGACATATATGCTGTAAAAGGTTATCAAAAGAGTTGTTCTTTATTGTTAGACAAAATCAGACATCCTTCTTCTGTGATGACCAAGTTTAACTCTCATGTTTGGATCAGATGAAGTGACCATCTTGGTTCTTGGCAAGGAGGTTGTCTTCAAGGCTATGTCACTGCATTTTGGACTCTCAGTGGCTGGAGCATTTGTGTCTTTGAATCGGGAACTCTTATTTGAGTGTCGTAAAAAGGCTCTAAAACGAGGGTCTGAAAAGCTAAGGGATTGAGCACCTGAGAACTGCACTGAACTTTTGGCTCCTGATCTCAAGCTTGTTGCCCTTTTGACAATTTCTCTTTCAGCAACACATTGCCTTTCTCGACTAGCCACAGTAGAAGCCATGAACCGAGGGAGAGAACGATGAATATTTTGTTTAATTGCTTTCTGAGTGATTCTAGGTGATCCAATGACATGATCTTTGACATCTTCTTTGGGAGTTTCAGGATTCTTTTCCTCATTCTCATCAGGAATCCCATAAGCAGTTGAGTAAAATTTTTTGTTTTCATTTAATAGGAACTCAGCCTTCCTTACTTGATTTGTAATTTTCTGACATTCTTCTTCAGCTTCTCTCATGTTCTCCTCAAGCTCTGATATCTTGTTTTCTCTTTGCTTCTTCAAGTCCTAAATGGCCATGGATTTATCAGTAACAATCAGTTGAATGCACTATCCAAATTACTGACAAATCAGATTATAGTACCTCTGGTAATTCTCTACTAGATTCCACTGCTCTGGCCCTCTTTGCAAAGCTCAAAGAACAGATTGTTTCTGCAACGTCTTCTTGACTCGGGCTTATGTGCACAAGCATCAACACTTTGGAACCAACACCTAAATGATTTGGAATTACAAGTTACAAAGTTTCCAACATAACAACACAGCTAGAAACCTTTCTAATATTATGCCAATGCAAATAGGAAATTTTCAACTTTTTTTGCAGTGTTTAAACCATTGCAAATCCCCAAAATTAAAGTAAACAACATGTGGAAATTTACCTAAGGAATCTTTGAGGATTTGAGTTAACTTGCTATTTCTGCAACCAAAAGAACGTAATTGTTAGACACAGCCAATTAAAGCCATTTCATTGGGAATGAAGGAACAGTTCAGCTGATCAGTCCTTTGAAACAAACGTATGAGCATGACAGCTGCAGGAATCAAAAACAAGAACTTGCCTGTAAGGCACATGGCCCCTCTTCCTTCTTAGACCTGCAATGACATCACCTAAAGCAGAAAGGGAAAGATTTATAGCCCTTCCCTCATCCAGGGTTTGTCCAGTGGCTCCAGTTTTTAACAACCGCTCACTCCCTCCGAGATCAACCATCCACAGTTTGCTTACTTTTGGTCTAGCTTCCCGAGTATCCCCACGTCGACAAATGATGATCCTTGTTAAGCTAGATATATGAAACTAAACAGATAATGTAATTATCAAACCAAATTAACCCATCAAGAATATCAAAATATTGAGCAAAACTAGGAACCCACCAGTGTGACCTGCTAGATGCCTCATTCACATTTGTCCATGAAGTATGCCGAAACCTCTTGCCTTTTGTGTACCACCATCTGGCTTTTGCAAAATCAGGTATGTCAACTTCTGTCAGACCCTCAATTTCTACTAACCCCTTTGGATCGGTTTGAATGTTTAGATTACTGTAATGGAGTTAACCAAATCATAAGAGTAAGCTCTCTAACAAATGGCCTTGAAATTTCAATTAGTCATATATATTTAGGATGTAAGCAGAAAGATAATTACCATCTTGCCACAGTTTCGTTTGCTCTTATTGCAGGCTTTGAAGCTAGTAGATCTCTCAAATTACCCATATAAACCTCCAACATGCTCATTGAAAAAGTAAAAGAAGATGAGTTGTCCAAAGAGACTTGATGAAAAATCTCTTCTAAAGCTTGAGGAACGATTCCTGGCTCGACTGTTGTGCCATCCTGAACAATTATTCCAATTCATCAGTTAGCCAACCTGAATACTGGAAGTTCTAACAGATGCAAGAAACACCAGCAAAATCTCAATTACAGACCATTGTAAATGTCTTGCCAGTGCCAGTTTGACCATAGGCAAAAATGCATACATTGTGCCCGTCAAGTGCAGATCTGAGGATTGGCTCAACCTCAACAAAAACATCTTCTACAAGGATTTCAGGCAGGATTAATTCTCTTAACAGCTGAAAACTAAAAAGATATGTTACTGTATTTGGGGAAAACCAAGTAAAAATCTGATGCTAACCTTGATTAGCTTCTTGATGAAACACCTTATCAAATCCAAACTCTTTCCGACTTCCAGATGATCTAACCACAATCCTATCGAGTCCAATAGAAACTGGTTCCTGGTCTCTTATCTTGTCTGTCCAAAGGAAAGGTCTAACTCTACAAAATACTCTAATGGTGCCTGCAAATTGAAACCACTCCATAAGATCAGACCGACCAAACATCGAAAATCACATGTTTAAGACAACCATAAGCTAATTACCTTTGATGTCCAATATTTTATTCAATGCTTCTCTTCTTTTCTCATCCAGTGACCTTTGCTTTAACCTCAATTCAGCAATTTCTCCTAACATAAGCAATTAAAAGTAACATAAATTAACCAATACAATGACCTCAATGCTTAATTTTAGAGCTGTAACAGAAACTCAAAATTTACCTTCTAATTTTTTTATGGATTTCTCAAGCTCGCTCTTTTCTTGCTCAGGGACAACATTGACATCACAGAAAATGGTAGAAACTGGTGGGGAATCAGGCAAATCAGGAACTGGGGGCAACCCATTAAAGGAATCAGGATTTGATCCCACTGGGGAAGACGTCAAAGGCTCTTTAACATCATTTGAAGACAATGGGATCTGCTCTGTTTCAGTGGAAATGAACATTTTTCCAAATAATCAAAGTGAAAACAGCAGACCCTTTCGCGGAAAAAATGCAGTTATTGGCATAAAAAGAACACTTTTTTGCCTTAATACAACACCTACAGCCAAAGAGATTCTCAGGAAAAATAAACAATTGGCAGAAACACAAAAAAAAAAAAAAAAGAACTTGAACCAGCTAAATATCTATTTTTAGTTATAGAAGAATATCTAAAAATCAACTTTCCTTGTCAAAAACAACCAAAAAAAGCTAGCTTAACCATTTCAAGCAGCTTCAAGGTTGGCGCCAGGCACAAAATCAAGAAAGCTTGTAATAATAGAAATATAGACTAAAAATAAGAAAAAAAATTCAACTATAAAGCTAAAGCTGGAAAAATGGTGGTGTAATAATTATGAAGGCATGGACTTTCGGCTTAAAGTCAAAAACTGAGAGGAAAATTTTCAGAAGGAAAAGAAAAAATTGGGTTCTTAGTTATCACTTATCAGTTATTTTCAACGGTTGAACAGTGAATAAACGCTCTTTGGACCCTGATTCTTAGAAGAAACAAGTTTTTAGTGTTGTCCATTAAAAGAACAGGTTAAGAATCATCAGTTGTTGGTTGGTCCAGATCTAAAGATGAACTGGAAAGTGTTTTTTTTTTTTTTTTTTTTTTTGAGAGAGGAGCGTGAGGAGCGGAGGGACAGAAGTGGAATAAGAAAGTGATGTCTGAATACTTTGACTGAAACTTGGGTTGGATCCTATACAGTCAGAACGTGAAGTAAAACATTGATGTCATGTAACTGTCAAACCATTTCAACCGGTTCTGACGTTTCGAAATTTAATTGGATGATTTTTTGAAGGTTGGGTAGTTTTTGATGTAGGAGATTGAACATCTTTTTTTCTAACGGTTTTACAGAAAAACCGAAAACTTGCCGTTAACTTTTGGTTCTTTTGGAATTATAAATTTTCAAAAGTTCATTTCCATATTTTTTTTATATTTTTAATAAAAGAATTGAAGATAAAAAATAAAATATTTTTAAAAATAATTACATAAATTAATTAAATTAAATTTTCGTTTAAAAATTTTTTTATTTTAAAATTTATTTCCAAGTAAACTTAGTCTTGCTTTCATTTTTTTTTATTTTATGAGTTAAAAAAGATTTTTAAAAATTAATAAATCAAAATGCATGATTAAGATTTTTATTTTATTTCAAAATTTTGTTAATAAAAATGGTCAATAACGAGGATTTTCAAACTTTCATCATTGTCAAAATCATTTGCCTCAACGAACTCTTTGTAATGTAATCATGGTCAAGTCATGTTTAAGAAAATTTCAAGTGATACTGAAAAGCTTTTTTTTATTATTTTTAATTCTGTTTACTTTAATTTTTAATTTTTAAAGTTTCTAGTCAATCTATTTACTGTTTTAATTGTTTTAAAGCCCAAATTTGATTTGAACAAAAAGAAGGCCAAATTTGAAAACCTATTAAGCCCAATAATTTTTTTTCCATAATAAAATAACTTTTGACTTATTATACCTAAAAATCAATCTAAAACACATGATACAAATATAATTAAAAAATATAAAAATAATACGATTTAAAATTTTAATAATTATTATTTTATAAATTTAATAAAACAAAAAAATATATATTTCATTTACATCCACATAAAATATAATATATAAATTTTATATAAATATAATACAAATATAAATTTTAATATTTTAGATTATATAAATCAATCTAAACCTCGTCTATTTGATTATGAGTATAAATGATACATTAGTACTGATAAATTATTCGAATTCAATTTGAATAAAACTTAAATTTGACTTAATTATTATCAAGTTGAGTTTGAATTCGAATAGTTCGACCCATTGATTGAGTCGAGTTCAAATATTTTTATACCAAATTCGAATAGCTCACGAGTTTAATCAAATTTTTATATTTAAATATATTTATATTATTTTAATTAATAAAATATTTTAAACTCAAGCTTGAACATAAATAATTAAGCTTTGTCAAATATAAAAATCGAACTTATTTTTATATATTAATTAAGTTTTATTGAATGAGCTCGAGTTATTCGATTTTTATATCGAATCAAATTCGAATTAAAAAAATAAAACTTGATAGAGTTTGAGTCGAGTTTTAGACTTTAAATTTCGAATTGAGCTCAAACTCTTCAAATTTCAAATTGAGCTCAAACTCAAACTTTGACACTTTCAATTACAAAAATAAAATGTTGAGTTTTGAGTTTTTTTTTCATATTTTATTTATTTATATATAATTTTAAGCTAGTAAAATAATAAATACTTCATTTAAATATTTACTAAGGTCAGTCCATCTTACTTCATTAGTATTTGATGATTTTTTTTTTTTTTGTATATTTAGGAGAATGATTATTGACTTGCACTTTTGTATCCTTTATTCTCCCCATAGACGTGGCGAAATTGTATTTTGGGAATTTTTTTTATTTCTACTAATTCTAAAATTGACCATGAAAAAGAAAAGGAAAAATGTAATATGGTTAGAAATTTTTCCATGTTTAGTATTATTTTTTCTATTATGAATACATTTTATCATACGTTAAAAAAAAAGAAAAAGTCATTGAAAAGGTTAAAAATTAAATTCTATATTTTATATATTCATATTTTTTATTTTATGTCAAATATATTTATAAAATATAAAAATTATTAAATTATAGTTTATTTTGATATATCAAATATAAAATATATTTTTTATTTTAATTAAATTTATATATAATTTTAATTAAAAATTTAAATTATATTATTTATATATTATTTATTATTATCATTATATTATATTTAAACGAATATTAACAATTATAAATAGGTCAGAAAACATGCCCCTAAATTCATATTACCTTTAATTTTATGTTTGGAGATATAATCTATCAATATTAAGTTGATATGATATTAAATTCTAATTTAAGCTAGATTTTAAATTCAAGATTTGAAATTTGATTCGAATTCAATCGAGTTTTATTTTTTTAATTCAGTTCAACTCGAAATAAAAATTGAGTTATTCGAATTTATTTGATTAAGTTTAATTAATATGTAAAATAAATTTAATTTTTATATTCGATAAAAATTTAATTATATGTGTTAGAGCTCTAACTCGAACTCGAGTATTTTATCAATTAAAATAATTACAATATATTAAAATATAAAAATTCAATTAAGATCGTGAATTATTTAAATTAAATATAAAAATATTTAAATTTAATTCGATACTTAAATTTAATTCGATAAATAAATCAAATTATTCAAAATTGAGATTAACTTGATAAGAATCAAATAAAATTCAAATTTTATTTGAATTGAAATCGAATAATTCGGAGTAATAACGTTTTATTTACATCTCTACTCGTGTCTCAAGTATTTTGATGTTTAAAAAAAAACGACGTCGTCATATCGGGATTTTTACATCACCGATAAGCCACTCCCATTAGTCTTTTGACTTTCAGTTTTCACTTTCCCGTTCAGTTTTTCTCAGAAGAGGTTCTTTTTTTTTTTTCATGATAATTTCTTCCCCAAATCTCTCTTCTTCCCTTTCCTGTTTTCAAAGGAAAAAAAATTAGAAAAGAAAAATATTTTCAAATTTGAACGCACCAAAATCTTCTAGGGTTTAATTTCATCTCTCTCTAATCACCGATTCGTTTCCATCGCCGTTCGATTTCTTCTACGACGACCGCCCCGGTAAGGTCAAAGCCTCACTCTCGCCACTTCTTTCTCATTTTATTTCTTTTCTCTCTCTCCGATCGTCGACTTCGCGCGTTGTCGGCGATCATTTCGAGTTTGCTTCTCTGTCTATTTGTTGAGTAGACTTTTTTGTTCGATTTTTTTTTTGGAAAAATTTTGAATCGTTATTAATATTTTGATTGTTTTTAACATTAATTATCTAGTTTGATGGTTTTAGTCAACATTTGATTGAATTTTCAATGATTTCATCGCATTTTTAGAAAATTATGTGTTTAATTAAAATGAAAAAAGGAAATCAAATTTTAATTACTATAGTTGCGATTATAGTAATTGTTAACATGCCACGTCATTTGGTAGATGTTATTGAGTGAAAATTTGGCTTTAATGAGAGTTCAGGTTTGTGTTGATTGAATCTGTTTCTGCAGAATCATGTGGAAGAATTTCTATTTTTGTATCTTTTTAACAAATATTAATTATCTGTTTAAGTAGATAATCTTGGTCTATTTTTGGTACATTTCAGTGGTTTTCTCCTTTTTAATTGATTTTTGGTTGCAGAATATAGGTTATTCTAAAGTAATGTATAATGTTGATATTCAAGTATTTAGTGGGCACTAAGATATCAGGGTGGCAAAGTTTTTAATTTTCAATTGACTGGTTATGTAGGGGTCACTGCAATGCACCGAGTAGGCAGTGCGGGAAACAATGCCAATTCTACCCGCCCACGCAAAGAAAAGAGGCTGACATATGTATTGAATGACTCTGATGACACGCAGGTGAAGTGATTTTTATGTTTTTTAATCCTTTCATTATTTTCCCCAATTTTTCTTTGAAGTGAACAGGTCATCTTCTTTGATATGTATTTGGTAGTCTTCAGGAATTTGCATATTCATATTTTATTAGGATTTTAATCTGTTTATCTGTGTTTTTCACCGGAATGACACATTTTAGAGTATTGGTGTTTCTGCAATTTTAGATTTATATGCCTTGTTTTTCTGTGCAATCATATCATAGCTAAAATATAAATTCATGAAGCTTGTGTTTGTTTTTATATGTATTTCTTAAGTAGGGGGCACTCAAATTTATAAATGATCAATAGAATAACCATTTGAGTGTTGTGTGTTTTTGCTTGTAGCCTTGTGTAGATTTATAGTACCATGCTATATGTGCTTTTCATTAGGTTGAGTAAGAAATGCTTATCGTATATTTGCTATGTTGATAAACTTGGCATCTTAGAAGTCTATTTGTTTTTGAAACTCACTAACTTCCTTCTTCAAGGGAATGCTATGCCAGTGTTGTATTGAATGCTTTTTATCCTTAGGATTTATGTTGTACTGAAATGAAATGAAAATAATGGTCTGTGTTCTCAGTTACAGGTTCTTTATATTATCCATGCATCCATCATTATTTTAGGACCATGTTCACAATCAAATTGGATCATTTTGCTAGTTCTTTGCTTTATATTCTAAAAAATTCACTATCTTGGATTGTAGTCGATTATTTTATCACTTCATTTTGGGTATAGGCACTAGGCACTGATGTGTCTCTGCTTTGGTATGTTGTTTTGCAGCATTGTGCTGGCATAAATTGTTTGGCTGTGCTAAAGTCACCTGTCTCTGATGGGTGCAACTATCTTTTCACTGGAAGCCGTGATGGCACACTTAAGAGATGGGCACTGGGTGAAGATGCTGCCACTTGCTCTGCTACTTTTGAGTCACATGTTGATTGGGTACCTACTTTTTTGCTCATGACAGTTTGCTTTTAGCTATGAGCATGACCATCATGCTTTAGCCGATATCTTTTTATTGTTGATTTGTGGTTGGGAGGTTGTGAAAATTTAATTTATTTTTTGTTTTTGGTCAACTAGAATGCCATATCTTGATGTATTATCAAATATGAATGGTTGCTTATTAACCAACCAGCTCCCCAAAAGGAAAGTCTAGAGCAAGTATTCACTTTGCACTTCAATAACATCGATAAACAATTTGAATGTTGAGAGCTCTTTTATCTTCTTTTTCTTCAGTTTGTGGAATTCACCATCCAATTATCCTACATCTATGATATATCTCTGTACCTGTGTTTCTTATGATTGAGAATAAAGCAATTTCCTTTTTGTGCAGGTAAATGATACTGTAATTGCTGGTGACAATACACTTGTTTCCTGCTCTTCAGACACCACTTTGAAGGTTTGTTGTTAATTAATGCATTATCTTTGGCTGTTCTCTTTTTGACTAATTTGTTAAGTATTGACATGTGCTCTTTCCTGGTAATATACTAGACATGGAATTGCTTATCCGATGGAATTTGTACCAGGACTCTCCGTCAACACTCTGACTATGTTACATGTCTAGCAGCAGCTGAAAAAAATGTAATTTCTATGTCAAGTTTTCTGTGGGTTTTATTAGCTGCATGGATGAAAGGTTCATGTCAATGCAATATTGCTATTTAAATTTCATGTTTGATTTGACATCATAAGCTGTGCTTCAAGGTATTATTTTTAATATTTTAGAAGTCATTTTCTGATTCTTTTTTAGTGTCATACATTTTAGACCAACGTGGTTGCCTCTGGGGGTCTTGGTGGGGAGGTTTTCGTATGGGATATTGAAGCTGCGGTTACTCCACTCTCAAAGTCCAGTGATGCTATGGAAGATGATTGTTCCAATGGTATCAATGGTTCTGCAAATTCATTACCGATATCAAGTTTGCGACCAATTAGCTCGAGTAACAGCATTACTGCACACACAACTCAATGTCATGGATATGTCCCCATCGCTGCCAAAGGCCATAAAGAGTCAGTCTATGCATTGGAAATGAATGATAGTGGATCCCTTCTTGTCTCTGGTGGAACTGAGAAGGTAGTTTTTGCTTCTTAATGTATTCAATTTCTATGAGAATAACATGCTTCTCTCCACATGACATCTTACCTGATGCAGTCTTATCATTTCCTTTGTTGGTCAACTGTTTTATTTAACAATTTCGGAAGCAATCTTAATTTCCTGCCTCAATTTCATATAGGTCGTGCGTGTTTGGGACCCAAGAACTGGATCGAAGACTATGAAGCTAAAAGGGCATGCGGATAACATTAGGGCTCTGCTTCTGGATTCTACTGGCAGGTTGGTACAATGATTTTAGCTCTTTAGTCCTCAGCTTTGAGTTAAAAATAGTATTAGCTTGATGTTAGTTGGAGGCCTTTCAATTATGGAGCTTTGGTATTCATTAGAGATACATATTTTTCATCTGATTCTTTTCTCTTGCAATTGCTGAACTCTTCTGTAGCAATGGATTAAACTGGTTGGTTGATTGGAAAATTTTGGAAATTTAGAAAAAGAAAATTTTGGCATATTACTAATGATCCTATGATGCAAAATATTTTAATTACAACAGGGGTTGTTGAAGTGTGGAGACTAAACCATGTTATGGCTTTATATAGATGTACTTGTTCACACTTGTTTTATAACTGCAACATTGTTTTCAAGTAAAATTGGGATGAATACTTTTTCTTTGAGCATATCTGGGAGTTTATTGTTGTCTGATGGGTTCTTTCCTTGATTGACTGCTAGTGAGTTTATTTTGTTAATGAAGTTTTTGACAGACATTGTGCATTCTCTCAGATATTGTTTATCAGGGTCCTCCGATTCTATGATCAGGTACATAATTTGTGCATTGTTTCTCTGTTGTATAACCACATGCCATTTTCAACCATAAAGAATCTAAGACCTTACCTTTTAAATGGTCATAATTTTATTTTGTAGGCTATGGGACCTTGGTCAGCAGCGTTGTGTGCATTCATATGCTGTGCATACGGATTCTGTTTGGGCACTTGCAAGCACCCCAACATTTAGTCACGTTTATAGCGGTGGTAGAGATCTTTCTGTAAGTACATACATTCATGCCAAACCTTTTCAACAGACATCTTAATCATTTTTGCCATGTTTTGATGTAGAATTTGACAAGAAACTTTGCTGATGTAGGACAATTGGCTTAGTAGTATTTTGGGCTTGATTGAGATTAAAGGATGGGAAATTATGAGAATAATTGGGGGTATCAATTTTTGATATAGAAGGATTTAGAAAGCAATCCTGGGCTATGCTGGTAATTTTAACAGTACTAGTGAATGGTAAATTAAGGGTTAAGGGTTAATTTGATAATGAATTTATGTGAGTGGGTTTGGGGTTTGTTTGAAGGATTCAAGGTTTGGTTTGAGATTGAAACCAATGCCAGAAATTAGAGAGTAAGGAAGAAGAATAAGTGATCTAGGCTTCACACCTAGAATTCTTAAACTTTGCACTAGGGAAAGGGTTGGCACAGCAGTAGCTGAAGTTCTCATAAAGTTGTTGTCTAGTAATTGAAATAGATCGTGCTCATTTATAAAGTTCAATTAATAACATTCCTACAACCACAAAGACATGTGATCCGAAGTAGGAAGCTTCCTAAATTGACTCATACAACTCCTAAACAATGAATAAAAACCAAATAACATAGGACAAACTCAAGTAAATATGATTCCTTGCGTCAAATTCTTCAATTTCCAACAAATTTTGAAACTAGCAGAATATTTTTGACATTTTAAAATGAAGGAAACAGAAAACAAAATAAAACCCTTCAACTTTAACTCAAATAAACTTAATGTTAAGACTTGATAATATCTATTATAGCTTAAATAAGTTTCTGAATCATTCTGAAATCAAATAAAGGACATACTTCCAAATTATTTTAGTATGTGATCTTGACAATTCTAGACATCCTTGTATATGTAACTTCTAATATTTAGCTTTAACTCTCAACTTGCTCTTACTATTGTACATACATCAGTTATATTTGACAGACTTGACAACAAGAGAGAGTCTTTTGCTCTGCACCAAGGAACACCCAATTTTGCAGTTGGCATTGCACGATGATAGTATATGGGTTGCAACGACAGATTCTTCAATTCATAGATGGCCTGCTGAAGGACAAAATCCTCAGAAGGTCTTTCTAAGAGGTGGTTCGTTCTTGGCTGGAAACTTGTCTTTTTCAAGGGCAAGAGTTTCCTTAGAAGGGTCTACCCCTGTAAGTATTGTGTACAGATATGTTTATAAATGTTTTTGCTTACAGCAAATCACCTTGTTTATCATGAGAATTTTTGTCTTATAAATCCTTTTTTTCTCTTTTTATTAATTTGTGTCAAGTATTATTAAATACATAAACTCTGCATTGTAGTAACATTTCTTTTTCTTTATATACTTGAATTGTAGTGAATTTAGCGCTGCTCATTGAGTTATTAATGGTTCTGTTTCATTTGTTCCTAGCTCACCCAACCCCAAGAAAAAAAAAAAACAAATATTAGATTTTCTTTTTATTTATCATGATATGCTTTGTTATGGGTATCTCTTTGAAGTTTGGCTGTGTATGGAATTTGTTTAACATTTTCTTCTATCCCTTTCCCTTAACTGATGTGCTGACATTGTTGGTTATTCAGGCTCCTGTTTATAAAGAACCAATCTTTACCATTCCTGGAACTCCAGCAATAGTTCAGCATGAAATTTTAAATGACAGAAGGCATGTATTGACTAAGGTAAATGTGGTAGTACTTATATCTGTTGATTTTTGGTTCATAGATTTTGTTTTGGGAAATTGTTTTTTGCATAAATGATATTTTAGCTTCTTTAATAGGATACTGCTGGTTCGGTAAAGCTCTGGGAGATAACCAGGGGTATTGTGATCAAGGACTATGGACAGGTGAACTAGATTTTTTCTCCATTTTCTGTCTTTCTTTTTTTCTTGAGTAGAAGTGGCTTGCACTTTGCTTTTCACTTGGAGGTTTGGTACACATAAACACACTTGTATATGCACAGTTATGTATCTAGTTGTATGTATTTATCCATTCCTTCAATTTCACTGTGCAGGTTTCATTTGACGAGAAAAAGGAGCAGTTGTTTGAGATGGTGCAATAACTATTTATTTGAAATTATATCAGTTGAACATAATGCATCTTTTTTTTTTAAGGAATTTACTTTTGATTTGTGTTTAAAACCTTTCTAGGTAAGCATTCCAGCATGGTACACTGTGGATACCCGGCTTGGAAGTTTGTCTGTTCATTTGGACACACCCCAATGCTTTTCTGCGGAGATGTATTCTGCTGATCTAGACATAACTGGCAAGCCTGAGGATGATAAGGTATCAGATTTTTCCATTGATTGTGTTAAGACTCAGATATCTGTGAGAAATCTTTGTGATTATTTTATGCATCTGGTGTTGACTTGTCTTTGGCAGGTTAATCTAGCTCGTGAAACCCTTAAAGGTCTGTTGGCTCATTGGATGACCAAAAGAAGGCAAATACTTGGCTCCCGGGCTTCAGCTAATGGAGATGTTTTATCAGGAAAAGATATTACCGCAAGAAGTCTTGCTCATTCAAGAATTGAGGTAGATGGAAATGCTGAAAATGACTCTATGGTATATCCTCCTTTTGAGTTTTCTACAGTCTCCCCTCCCTCAATTATCACTGAGGGTTCCCAAGGAGGTCCTTGGAGAAAGAAAATTACTGAATTGAATGGAACTGAGGATGAGAAGGACTTCCCTTGGTGGGTTTTGGATTGTGTATTAAATAATCGGCTACCACCACGAGAAAACACCAAGTAACTTCTGTGACCTCAGTAAACTTTCCTTTGCTTAATTAAATCTTAAGTAACAAGTTTGCAAGAAATTTTGCAGTTTGCACACAATGAACTACTTATTGGTTGACCTCACCTCTTTGTTGATATGTTTGCTCCATGGGGATGAACTTAAAGAAGTGTCATTAAGTCCAGTAGTTTTCTATGCTTTTTGTTATCTTGTGCCTTTATTCGTTATTCTTTGATATTTTTTCTTGTGGACATCTACATTTCTTTTTATTTAGAAAAAATATATACTTTCTTTACATTGTTGCACTACATTCAGAACCATGGATAATTATCTATTTTACTTATCTGGTTTTTAAGTAGTGTATGTTTTCGTCCTTTCTCCCTCTCTCTATTGATGGAGTGTGCTTTTCATTTTTTCAGGTGCAGCTTCTACCTTCATCCATGTGAAGGTTCACCTGTTCCGATCCTCACACAAGGGAAGTTAAGTGCACCTCGCATATTGAGAATACATAAGGTATGCCTGTTTGATTTTCTGTAGTCCATGCAAAATCCAATTTCTTTTGCATGGCATGTGATTGTACAAAGTGCACATGTTGTTAGTATACAAATTTAGATTACTTGGCTTAATACACTAGAATCTATTTCATATTGTGGAGCACGGCCAGCATAAGGGCCAAAGAGCAATGTTAGGTTACTGAAAATGTTATTTTAGGATGCATATACATTGATAGTACCTTTGAACTTTGTTGTAGCCAAAACAAGATCGGAATGAATTAGAATAAAATTATCTTCTGAATTAGCTTTGTTGAGTGCTCAGTTTCTCGTATATTAGAGCATATACCTTAGTGGTTTACTAGATTTTCTTTTCTTCTCTGGTTTTCAATTTTTGGATATGTGATGCTGATAGGTGGTGCATTGGAAGATGATGTATGTAGTATTTTTCAGGATACCAACTTGAAATTAATGCAGAATAGCTGGTTCTAGATTGTATTTGTATATCAATATTTTATGGATTTTCTGGTATAATACTGTTCATTCACTCCTTTGTGTTTATGTAGGTTGTTAATTATGTCATAGAAAAGATGGTGCTTGACAAACCAATTGATAGTGTAAATACGGATGGGACATTTGCTCCTGGTCTTGGAGGACAATTGCAGCATTCAGCAGTTGGAGATGGATCTTTTCGTTCTGGATTGAAACATTGGCAAAAACTTCGGCCTTCTGTTGAGATTTTATGCAATAATCAGGCAAGTCAATCACATGTTGGATGTTATAATGCATTGGCTAAGAGCCTAAGATCTTTTTGCCAAAGCTGTGTGGTTTTTTTCCTCATTCTCTGGTACCAATAAGCAATCTTACAATGTAGTGTTTGAAATGAACATAGTAAAATAGTTTTAGACCAACTTGTTTAGTTCAAGTTCAATCATACTAAACTGGTCCCTTATTTGATTTGCTACCATATGTTCCAGGTCTTATCGTCGGACATGAGCTTAGCTACGGTGCGGGCTTACGTATGGAAGAAACCTGAGGACTTGATACTTAATTATAGAGTGATTCAAGGCAGGTGATTTTGTTAACTTATGGGAGCAGGTGAGTGTCAATTTATTCATGTTAGATATGTTACCTGTATTACTTTTAACAGAATAACACATATTTGAAGGTAAATTCTTCAGGAAACATCATTTGTCATTATAAAAGCAGGAAACTTGTATTCACTCGGATTTTTTTTGGTCTATTTGTTTTCGGTTTTGGAAATAAAAAGGGAGGAGGTGGCTAGTTGTTGAGAGAGGAAACATGCCTGTTATTTAATTCTTCCCCCATGATTCTGTCAATTTAACATGGAATCAGCGTTCTCTTCATTTTGATGAGTGAATAAACATTGTTTTCTCTTTGAACATGTCCGCACATTGGATATCCATAGCAAGCAATCAACTTAAATAGTGTTTGAGCTGTATCCTTTCTTATCTATTGGGCTGCAGGTCGGCATATTGGGATGGAAATCTCAAACTTTTGTGAAGCGTTGGGAATCATATTATTCATCTGAGGTTGCCTGTCATGATCGCAAGTATCTGTGGATTCCTTGTATATTTGGAAAGACGATTGGTTTTCGATCTAGGGGCATTCCGAACTTCGTCAAGAGGATCATGGTTAATGTTTTCATAGTTGGGCAGGTGCTATCATATATTTTTGGTCTTCGTTTCATTATGTGCATGCTTTTGTCATACATTAGAAATTAGGCATACGATGTCGAAAAGCTCTGTAGATTTGTATTGTGGGATTAATACCAAATCATAGAAACTGTTGTTATGAAGTTGATTTTTTCTTTATTTTTTTCCCTGGAAATAAGACAATTAATTTGCATCTATTAGTCATATATATCTAGAAAATTTCTCCCAATGCTTTCTTGTGCATTTCTTCAGTGGTTTTTTAGGCAAGAAATGACATTTTTATGGTATGGTATTTTATTTTCACCACTTAAGTGACAATTATTCAACATTTTCAACTTAGCTCTAAATTTAGTTTTACTGTCAGAGGATAGTAAAATTCAACGGTTTTCCAAAGTGCATCATAAAAAACGACATAGGACTTGAAATAATTACATCTTGTCATGTCTGATTGATTGAATTGGTGGGTCACACTTCAGCACAATGAAAGCTGAAGATTACTGTTCTAAGACAGCTATAGTTCAATGCTTTTCGATCATTTATGATTGACGGTCTGAATCTGGCCAAGATATTTCTATCACAACACCGATCATATCCTATTGATGCTTCAGATTGGCCAGGGTCACCGAAAATCAGCCACGTACTGCGTATGGCGATAAGAGCCGCTGAGCTGCAGCCATTGCCAGAACCTTTTTGAGTTTTCGCCATCATGAAGTTCATGTGATCATTTTTTTTTTTTTTTTGAAGTAGACAAGATATTCAGTTCCTAAAATATATCGTATTTAATTTATTTAATAATTTAAAATAAATAATTATAAATTATATATTTAAAATAATTTTAATAAATAATTATCGATAAAATTTGAATTTAAATTTTTTATCAAAAAAATAAATTTTATCAATTAAATTAATCATTTATTAATTATGTGATCGTATTTTAGGCTCAATAAAAAAAACACCCTTTTTAAACTTTTTAATTACATCTAAATTCTTTGTTTATCTGGAATCAGAGACCACTTTCCTTTCTCCTATTTTTTACTCATTTGGCTCTATTTTATGCTGGCAGTTTGCCAGATTTTTCTGATCATCCCCAATTAATTGTTGACAAAATAGAAAAAAAAATTAACTTCAATAAAATTCCCAATGGAAAATTATGATAAATTTCATTTTTTATTAATTTTTAATAAAATTCTCAAATTAAATCTTCCCAAATCCGTAATTTATTATTGATAGAGCCAATTGAGTTATTGTTCTCAGTACAGCAAATTGACGGACGAAAATTCAAAGCAGTGATAATGATTTCCAAAGAGAAATACATATGGACGAGATTTTATTTATTAACAACAACGTATAAAAAAAGAAATTATAATTGTTGAACATGCACGACCAAAACCTTGGAAATTACGTGGTGTATTTACTCTTCCATTATTGTATCCTTGTGTTCATCTGAACCTCCAAAATCATTCCTGTAAAAGACAAAAAAATAAAGTAGATCTAATTATTTAAAATATAATATAATATAATAATATCATATAAACATAAAATAAAAAATACGAAAATTATATAATTTAAAATTTTTAATAAAATTATATATAAATTTATTTAAATTAAAAAAATTATTTTATATTTTTATATTAATATAAATTATAACACATGATTTATAATACATACATTTATATATTTTATACAATATAAATATACGGATAATGAAATCTACAATAAATGTGTAATCGATTGAATTGGAATTGATATAATATTAAATTTGAATTTAAATTTGATTTAAAATTTGATACTCGAAATTTGATTAAATTTTATTTTTTTTAATTCGAGTTCGATTTGAGATAAAAATTAAACTATTTAAACTTATTTGATTAAACTCGATAAATATATAAAAATAAACTTGATTATTATATTAGATAAAAATTTGATTATTTATTTTTAAATTTAAGTTTAAGATATTTTATAAATTAAAATAATAAAAATATATTTAAATATAAAAATTTAATTAAAATTGTGAGTTACTCGAATTGAATATAAAAATATTTAAATTTGATTCGATTTATAACTTAAAAATTTAAATTTAAAATTTTTTAAATAATAATTAATTTAAATTTAAATTTTATTCTAATTAAATTTAAATAACTTAAGAATGTTAATATATTATTTATATCCATACTATGCAATCAAACAAGCCAACCCGCCTTTTTGAACATTTATATCTTGGTTATGAAAATTTAACCGTTATAAACACGAATCTAATCAGTGCATAGCTGTAGCACAGCTGTAGTAGTACAAATTTACATGGTGGTTGGCTAATTAATAACCAGAGAAAAAAACTTAGCCATAGCCATACAGTACAAGAGTGTATGGAAAGTTGGGTAAAATCCAAAAAAAAAAAATGTCCATATTTCTTTTCACCAACCTGTTGATCAGTAATTATGTTATTTTCTTTTTTGTCTTGTTCTGAAATCATTCTTTGCCAATGAATTCAATTCGAACATTTTCACTGTCATTTCATAGTTGTATCATTCAATGATTTTGACAAGAAATTCTAGAAATATATGGTTCTAAAGAGACTATAGATCATGTTTTGCTGTATGGGTTTACACCAAATTTCATTCTTGTACTCTACTTTGTTTTGCGTTTTTTATATTGCTATCTTTCTTTTGGCACGAAAAGTGTGATTGTTTCAGCTAGAGTGTTTTAGGCAGCATTAGAGTTGTGCTAATTTGTAGTTCTTTCAGTTTCTTGTGCTGGTAAAAGGGTGGATAAGTTTTTCTCTAACTGTAGATAGTTGTTGTCATTGGGTTTAAACTATTGTTCAATTTGTGAGTGGAAATAAGGGGTCTAAACTGTATGCAGTTCTTGTAGAAGCAGATTTTTTTTTGGTGCTTGAAACAATAGGTTGCAATACGTTTCAAAACTGTTGCTAGTTGTGTTTAAAATTGCTCAAATTTTGAGTCTTGGGAAAGGGAAGACTATTGCAATTGAATAGGAGTCATGGGTTTTGCTTTTGCTTTCAGGGTATCGCCTTGTTTTGGGATAAATTTAGAGTTAAAGCATCGTTTTCGAGTGAGAGCTGAGAGAATAGGTGATAGTGATTTGTCAGTGTTGTCATCTGATGGAGTCTCAGTGAATGGAGCAGCTTCTGTGATGGGAGACAAAGAGAAAAAAGGGTCTTTGCTTGATGGTGGGAATGGCAGGTTAAAGCCTAGAATATATGAGAGAAAATTGGTTAAAGAAATGGTTTCTGAAGAATTGGAAGTATTGTGGGATGATGGTTATGGAACTAATACAGTGAAAGATTATCTCTATGAAGCAAAGGACATGATTAAGAATGATGGCGGACCACCAAGGTGGTTTTGCCCTATTGAGTGTGGGCGTCCTATAAAAGATTCTCCTGTTCTTCTGTTTTTACCTGGTAAGTTTAGTGTTAATAGTATACTTTTTGTTAGTTTTTCAATTTTAGCTGGATTGATAAATGGAGGTGGTTAAATTATAATACTACTAAGTTTATTGCTTTAACAAGTGATTTTCTTTCTTCAGTTCGTTTTCCCCCTTGAGTTTTGATATTTTAAAAGTGTATTATGGCAACTTTTTTTTGTTTGGTACCGATGCATGCAGGGCTTGATGGTGTTGGTATGGGCCTAATTTTGCACCATAAAGCTCTTGGAAAGTAAGTTGTATTATCCTCCTCTTGAATGCTTATGGCAATTTTCCTGATTGTTTTGGCTGACAACTTCTTATATTTCCTTTCAATGGTGGCCATAAAAGTACAGCAGAGGCAAATAAGTTTCATAGCCTCCTTTGTGGCATTTTTATTTAGCACCCAGCTGAAAACTTAATTTCAATGGAGTTGACTTGTGAAAGTTCCTCCACTTAACTGAAACAAAGGCTGTCTTGAAATTGTTTTCATTGTTTTTAGTTATTTCTAGCTGGTTAGGTCATATTATACTGATTCATATTCATGTTTACATCTATGTTAATAGTTGTTGTATTTGAACGAAACAATTTGTATTGAAGATTTTTGTTGAGTGCAGGGTTTTTGAAGTTCAATGCCTTCATATTCCTGTCCATGATCGAACACCATTTCAAGGTTTTTGTCTGTCATGACCTATGAATTTTAATTTTCTTGACTTGTTTAGAAGTTTTATTCAAGCTGATGATGCATCAAAATGGTACCCTAAGCTTGAAGTTGTTTGTCTAATAAATGTCTTAGAAATAGCACATGATAGCTTATTTGCTTTCTTTGTCTATAATTTGCATCCTTCTACTGCAATAACTGCTCATTCTGAATGCTTTGTATTTAGATAACGGAACTTATGACCAGATTTTTTGCATTCTTTTTAAACCATTGTGTCTAATTTGTAAACAAAAATTTAACATTATTTTTTGGAATGAAGGACTGGTGAAACTTGTTGAAGAAACTGTTAGGCTTGAGCATGCTTCACGTCCAAATAGTCCAATCTATTTGGTGGGAGATTCCATTGGAGGATGCTTAGCACTTGCTGTTGCTGCTCATAATCCCACTATTGACTTGGTGCTGATATTAGCAAATCCTGGTCAGTTTTCGTTTTAAAATTCCTGTTTGTGCTCTTTCATTCATCACATAATCTTAAATCTTTACTTGGTTGATGAACTCTGTTGCTGCAATTCCATGGTTGGCTGATGGTTTTCTATTATTTCATTTTAGCTACATCATTTGGCAGGTCACAGCTGCAACCATTGTTCCCTATATTGGAAGCTTTTCCTGATGGGCTACATGTTACTATCCCTTATCTTCTGAGCCTTGTGATGGGTAAGTGCTTCCAGTGGCATGCTTTATTTAATTAGATTTATTCAGTTCTATTTAATATATATTTCCAAGGCTCTATTGCTGTCAATACCATGCCCTCCACGCTCATATATTTCCACTGCTCTGTTACAACATGCAAAGAGTTTTTTCAAATTTAGGTTTCACACAAAGCTGAATGTATGAGTAACAGTTGCAACTTTTTTGCAAGTTCACGAAAGCAAATTTTGTTCTGATATTGCTTCTTCTGTTTTTATGAGATCAGGTGAACCGTTGAAAATGGCGACAGTTGGCATTGAAGGTAGGCTTCCTCCCAGGCAGAAAATCGAACAATTGTCTGGCAACCTCACTACTTTGCTTCCTCTTCTTTCTGTAAGGATCATTCTTGGTTTCTTGGATTTATCATTTCTTTTTGGTTTTGCTGCATGGTGTTTTGTTCCTGGAATCTGCTGCCTGTCTTGTTTTCATAATGTTCTGCTGGAATATTTATTTAGTCCAAGTTCTGTGCTGGCTGTTAACCTGCAATATTGTTTTCCTTCACTTTCAGGGTTTGGCTGATATTATACCAAAGGAGACTCTCATTTGGAAGTTGAAGTTGCTTAAATCAGCTTCTGCTTATGCGAATTCACGTCTCCATGCTGTTAAAGCTGAAGTACTAGTGCTTGCTAGGTCCATATACTCTTCCTTGTGAATTGTTTGTTATGTGCTACTCTATGCCTGTTAACTTCATCATTATCAACATTGTTATAATTGATGGTTTTCTTGCATTCAGTGACAAGGATAATATGCTTCCTAGTCGAGAAGAAGCTCAACGTCTTAAAAATTTATTACCAAATTGCAATATTCGCTGCTTCAAGGACAATGGCCATACCCTTTTCCTGGTATTTGCATCTGTGCTATTAGATGTTATGACGCGGTTTCTGAACTCAAGCTTTCTTTAATGCTTTCTTTATATTTTAAGTTTAGCATCTGTGTAGTTATTGACTCAAAGTGATGTGTTAGATTATGAAAAGCTTAGGCCTGTTTCTATGGGAAAAGTTCTTATCCCTTTCAACATTCATGTAATTCTGCACATCCTTGACAAACAGCATGTTTTCTGTGATGTTACAGGAGGATAACATGAATTTACTGACCGTCATTAAAGGTACTTGCAAATATCGGCATTCGTGGAGGCACGATTTTACCTCAGATTTTCTGCCTCCCAGCATGTCAGAATACAAATATGCATTTGATGAAGTAGCTGGGTAATTCCACCAAGCATTGTACTATATGAATATCATTTAATGGCTATGGCAGTGGCAATGCAAGTGTAACCTCGTTTTTTAGGACTTAAGCTGAAGAAACCTGTTTAAGTTGCATCATTTCACCTATTTCTCTTCATTTGAGAGGCTCTGGCTTATATTGCTGCCACCTGAATTGCAGATTAATACGTTTTGCTTCTGGTGCTGCTATGTTCTCAACCATGGAAGATGGAAAGATAGTTGAGGGGCTTGCAGGGGTTCCAAATGAGGGTCCTGTGTTGTTAGTTGGTTACCATATGTTGATGGGGCTTGAACTTGCTTGTCTTATTGAAGCGTTCTTGAGAGAGAAGAAGATTATGATCCGTGGAGCAGCACATCCAGAGTTATTTTGGGGAAATTTTCAAACGTCATCTAATGAATTTTCTTTCTCTGATTGGATGAAAGTAATGGGTGCATTACCTGTCACAGCAAACTATCTTTTCAAGGTTTTGTCTACAAAATCCCATGTTCTTCTTTATCCTGGCGGCGCACGTGAGGCCCTCCATTATAAGGTGAGACAAAGTTCATGGTTGTCCAAAATAGATTCACAATGAAACAAAGTTGGAATCTGTTATCTTTAAGAAGAGAGGACTGCCAAAACCTCTGATCTAAATTCTCAGAAAACAGTGTTTTATCATTGCAGGGTGAACAATATAAATTATTTTGGCCTGACCAACCGGAGTTTGTGAGAATGGCAGCCAGGTTTGGGGCCACAATTGTACCTTTTGGGACTGTAGGAGAAGATGATATAGTAGAAGTAAGTTTGTGTTTCTTTCTACCATAAAAATATTTATTCTTCATCTTTGGATCCATCGGAAAATACAATGGGAAGAAGCAAAGCAACCCCCTTCTTCACCCTTCCTTTTAGTTTGTGCTAATATCATTGTTCTTGCTTATAATCTTCTTGGCAGTTGGTTCTTGATTACCATGACTGGATGAAAATCCCTGTGGTTAATGACAAAATCAAAGAAGCCATTCGGGGCGGTATAAAAATAAGGTCACTACTCTCACTCCAATGATATTTACATCTCATATTCTATTACCAGATGTTTGCAGAAAGGCTGGCAACAATTATACTAAGAACAATGATAAGTTGCTAGTTTGCAATTATACTGATAGCATTAATGGAGAGCATTCTCTGGTTGTAGGGATAAAACAAAGGGAGAGGTTGCCAGGGAAGAGCTCTTTGTTCCTGGGTTGTTACCCAAGTTACCAGGCCGCATTTACTATCTGTTTGGAAAGCCGATAAAATTGAAGGGAAGGGATGATTTACTGGAGAACAGAGAAGATGCAAATGAAATGTATTTGCAGGTAAAGTCAGAAGTTGAACAATGTATTGCTTACTTGTTAAAGAAGCGAGAGGAGGACCCGTATAGGGGTATAATCGATAGAACAATCTACAGTGCACTCTATGCTTCTCTAGACCAAGTTCCAGCATTCAAGCTTTGAAAAACTACTCTAGCAGATGCATCTTGATTCTTTAATAGGCTTATGTTAGTGCACTCTATATGTATGATAGCCATGGCCAATCTTATGTAGCACAATATTACAAATTTCCAAATACAAAAGGAAAATAAGAAATATGCTTGTTCATTATATGATTCACTCCAGATTCTATATCAAACTGCAGAGAACATCTTCTTTGATGCGTATATTTCTGATTCCATTCCAACAAGCCAGCAACCGAGCAAATCATCTATGGAAAGTTAAAATCCAAAAGCATTAAAGAAATGGTAGTTTCTTTTCACGCTGAAAAATCACATCATCAATGAGCCCCTACTAAGCCTATGTTTGGATTGAAGTAAGGGGAGAGAAAGGAATGAAATGGAAAAGAAACAAAAGGAAATGGAAAATCTTTTCTTTGTTTGTGTATGACATAAATAAAAATAAAGGAAAAGAAGGTATACTTAGTTTCCCTTAGTTTTCCTCAATTTTTTTCATTTTTTAATTACCCCAAATTAGGAGAAAAGGAAGGGAAAGGAAAAGAATAAAATTTTTAAAATATAAAATGATTATTATATTCTTATTAATTTTTTTAAATTAAAAATATATGATTTTGAACTCTAAAATCAAATTAAGAATACAAAACATCATTTACCAATAAATTTATTATCTCCAAATTTTTTCTCTTATTTTTATGAATTTCATAAATTTTATTAATGATTATTTTTATAAAAAAATAAAGGAAAATTAAAAACATAAAGTACGTTAACATAAATATGTAAATGTTATAGTAAAAATCAATATTATCAAATGTTATAATGAAAAGTAATAATATAATAAATCATTTTCTTTCATTTTCAGTATTTAACCAAACAATAATTGTTAGGATTTTATTATTATTATTTTTTTATTAATTTTAGCTATCCAAATAAATGATACATATATAATTTTCTTTCCTTAAAAAAAATTTCTCTTCCTTTACTCTACTTTCTTTTCTTTTTTTTTTATTAATATTTACCCAAAAAGACCAGTTAAATTTTTTTATTACAAAGGTGGTTGCAACCTAGGGATAGGAAAGGGGTTGTAGGTGTTTGAGATTTGGATTCAAACCTTCTAGGTGGCAGATGTCACGTCTTAAGGTGATTTCATTAGCCAATTGAGCTAAGCATCATAACAACAGTTAAGTTTGGCATGAAAGATGGAACTACCGAAAAAATAGCACAACAGTCATGTAACTTAGCATGAAGACTTGATCAAAATGTTGTTGTCAATGCCAGCTTCAGAGAAAATGAATTTTTCTTAATCTCTTAGATGTAAAAATTGTCCACAGAACTGAATTAGCCAGAGTACACCATGAAGTATCTTCCCTTTATAGACAGGGAAAATTGAAGTTGTATATTTTGCTTCATTGACATTTTGGAATAATTAACAAATTGAAGGAAGTGAGAAAAACATTCTGGTATTTCAGGAACAGAACATATGGAGTTCATTATAAGTTGACCTTTCTTTTCAGTTTTTTTTTTTTTTTCTTTATAGTTCCATTTTAAAGGGTTGAGTGAAGAAGGAACCCACAGATGTGAATGAAAATGATAGTATAAATGCCAACTTGGCCATTGATTCCAGTTTTGGGACACTGGTAATAATCTGACATCTTGTTTTCCTAAGCACAGTGAAACGGTTTCAGCCTGTGCCAACCAAAAAGTTACTTGCCATAACAAAAGTAAGAAAATTTCTAAATTGTTAATCACAGTTCTAACTCCGAAATCATGAGGATAAATGGATTCTCCATCTTAAAGCTATGAGTCCATTGAAAACCTGTCCCTTGAGTAATTAATATATGGTTTGCCTGGAAACATACATTTGTCAAGATCTTGAAGAAGGATTCGGTTTCGAAAAAGGTGATGCCAAATTAGAGTAACAGTTATTACATTCTTGAGCTGCAGTTAAATTTTATTAGATTGTTGTGAGAGTGTAACATCTCACTTTCAATCAGTTTATGGATAGTCTTGATGTCCTGTCATTGATCAACATTTGGAAATACAGCTTTTCTTTGCTTGCTAAGAGATGATAAGACAGTCAAATCAAGTGATTCTCTCTTTTTTTCTTCTTATTCTCATATGATTGGACACTATATTCTGCATAGTGAAGAACCAATTCTTATCAGAATAGTATGAGATTTCATATTTCTGGTAGCTAATGGAAGTCGTTGTCCAAAAATGAAAAGAATATGATTCTTTAAGAGCATTTTTCTCAATGAGAAAACTTGGGAATCTAAAAATGCATGGTGAAAGCTAGAGTAAGATCCAAACATGAATGATGTTATTGAATCTTTCATCATTCAGCTTAAGCTGAAGAGAACAAATTTTTCTATATAAGGAGAGCTTCAAACATCTTTGGTAAGTGAGGAAAAAGTTGTTTGAAAGAAAAAGACAATTTCCAACCTTCAAGTTAGACAATGGCTGGGTATGGCTATACATATAGGGGTGGCTACACAACCTGCAATGGTGTAGCTCCGCGAACAGACGGGTGGGGCAAAACAAGCTATACCTCTGATCATGAATGCCAGCCTGTGTTCGTTGATGCTGATGGAAGGAGGAAGCCAATCATGTCTTACACTCCCAACGGTAGCAATGAGTACTATGTTACAAGAACCGAGGTCGTTGAGGTACCCTTTGTCACTGGATACAAACAAAGCACTCCTGTAAAAGTTGAGGTACTGAGGGACCATGGTGATGTTGCCGGTGGTAAGTGGAATAGACCCTCAAGTCCAGAGAGATGGCGCAGGCCTTCCAGTCCTGTTCGCTATCATGTCGAAGAGAAATGGAATAAGCCTTCCAGTCCTGTTCGCTATCATGCCGAACAGAAATGGAATAGGCCTTCCAGTCCTGCTCGCTATCATGCTGAAGAGAAATGGAATAGGCCTTCCAGTCCTGTTCGTTACTATGTTGAAGAGAAATGGAATAGGCCTTCAAGCCCTGTCCATGAGCGCCCACAGCAAGTTGAGGAGTTCATTACCAAGATTCAAACTCAAGCTAGCCGACCAAACAAGGTTGCTCCTGTAAGTGCTACATATTGGCGTCCGACACCTAATTCCAATACTGGTTATGGTGATCAAAGTGACTTGAGCAACAAGGAATGGCAGAAGCCAAGTGGTAACACCATCCGTGATGAGAATTATGGTGGCCGTTACAAAAGAGATGAAGTTTTCGAGCCAATTATGACCACTAACGGTGGTGCAAGTGATAAGCAAAGTCATAGGCCTTACCTTAGCCAATCAGCAAGTGATATCAACAAAAGAGATAGCTATCAGGAGCCAACTATAAGCACCAACGGTGGTGCATGGGCTAAGCCAAGTCAAGGGGGATGGTCTAAAGGACAAGGAGCTAACCTTAGCCAACCAACAAATGATATCAACACAGCTATGGAGTACTTAAAGGAAGCTGCTAAACAACCTTCTTCAGGTATCAATCCTCCACCTCCCAGGTATACAACACCGGCCCCAACAGGGCCAAAGAGAGATACCTACCCTGAAACCATTGACAGCAGGGAAGCTGAAAGGAGATATGGCAATTCGAACATACCATCTCGTCCGATCAACACTTACACCATAACCATTGACAGCAGAGAGGCTGCAAGAAAATACGGTGGCACAACAGTGTGAAAAGCAACCATTAGATGTCTTCTAGGAAATCAATCATGCTTAATCCACCTGTGTCGGTTTCATACCTGTTTTTCACCAACCTAGTATAGTTGTTCCCTGTCATTATAATTATGAAGTTGTGTCAAAGGATGGCCCTTTTATGTCCTGCAATAAGCTTTCCTGTTATGCTACCGCTATTGGAATAAAGTTGTAGATATTTTACTCTTTAGCTTTGTAATTCCTTTTTCTTTTTCATGCATCTTAAGAGACCAAAGTGAGATTGGTTTGATTAGAACATTTTACCAAAAAATAACGTATTCATGTCAAACACTTATAGAACATGAAATATATTTTTTAATTTTTACTAAATTTATATATTATATTTATTAAAATTTTAAATTCTATCATTTTTATTTTTTATATCATTTTCATTTTTATGCTTATTAAAAATATTCGTATTAAAAAATATATATATCACTAGACAGTTGAAAACAAGAATATGGAACTTCAGCCTGTTTGACTTGGAACTACAAGTACTTATGGGTATAGCTTCAAAAAAATACTTTAACTCCAATTTCTCCTTATTTCCTTTATGCCTTGTTTGAATCTTCATACCCCTCATTTTCTTCCCAAACTATTCAAATTCTTTTCTTTTTCAACTATAAAAAATGCCAGCTTTAATCAAGCCCCTACAAATATTAACAAATTCTTGTCACTTTTACAAGAATTCTCAGATACCCTTTTGTGTCTTAAATCTATTCATGCCCAGATTATCACAAACTCTGTATCTATACACCATTTTTTGGCATCAAATTTGGTTAAAAGTTACAGTGAATTGGGCTGTCTGGGAATTGCCAGGAAAGTGTTTGATCAAATATCTCAACCAAAACCCATTCTTTGTAATTCAATGCTCAATGGGTATTTGAGAAATAAGTGTTATAAGGAAACTATTGAGTTGTTCGATTTAATGTGTTCTTTTCATTTGGGATTTGATAGTTATTCATGTAATTTTGTGTTGAAGGCCTGCATGGAATTAGGAAATTTCGAGAAGGGCAGAGAGGTAATTAAGAGAGCTGTGGATAGAAGGGTGGATGGTGATAGGTTTTTGGGTAGTTCAATGATTAGTTTCTTTATGAAATTTGGTGATTTCAATGGCGCGAGACGGGTTTTTAATCGGATGGTTGAAAGAGATGTTGTGTGTTGGAATTCAATGATAGGTGGTTATGTAAAAGGATGTTACTATGTTGAGGCTTTTGATTTGTTTCTTAAGATGATTCTATATGGGGTTAGGCCAAGTGCTATAACTATGGTGAGTTTGGTTCAAGCTTGTGGAGGAATGAGAAATTTAGAACTTGGGAAATGTGTTCATGGATTTGTCCTTGGATTGGGAATAGGAAGTGATGTTTTGGTGCTCACTGCATTGATTGATATGTATAGTAAGATGGGTGAACATAAAAGTGCTCGTTTGGTTTTTGATAGCATGCCTGCAAAAAATTTGGTTTCATGGAATGTTATGATCTCAGGGTATGTTCAAAATTGTTTGGTGCATGAATCTTTTGATCTGTTTCGCAAATTAGTAATAACTGGTGCTGGCTTTGATTCTGGAACAATAATTAGCCTCCTCCAAGGTTGTGCTCAAGTAGCTGATTTGGAAAGCGGAAAGGTTCTCCATGGTTATATTTTTCGAAGAGGCCTTAACATGAACCTTATTTTGTCGACTGCAATCATAGATCTGTATTCTAAATGTGGTGCCATAAAGGAGGCAACTTTTGTGTTTGAAGGGATGAAAGAGAGAAATGTGATTACATGGACTGCTATGCTTGTAGGATTAGCACAAAATGGGCATGCTGAAGATGCCATCAAATTATTTGGTCAGATGAAAGAAGAGGGAGTTGCTGCTAATTCTATTACTCTGGTTAGTTTAGTCCACTCTTGTGCCCATTTGGGTTCCCTGAAAAAAGGAAGGAGTGTCCATGCTCAATTATTTCGCCATGGATATGCTTTTGATGTGGTTAACAGGACAGCCTTGATTGATATGTATGCCAAGTGTGGAAAGATAAATTATGCTGAAAGGGTATTCAAAGATGGGTCCTTATTTAAAGATGTTATATTATGGAATTCTATGATAACAGGCTATGGCATGCATGGTCAAGGACATGAAGCTCTTGATATCTACAGCAGAATGTTAGAGGAGGGACTCAAGCCAAATCATACTACGTTCATCTCTCTTCTATCTGCTTGTAGTCATTCAGGGCTTGTGAAACAGGGAAGAAGTTTGTTTCTAAGCATGGAAAGTGATCATAATATCAGGCCTACCGAGAAGCACTATGCTTGCTATGTGGATCTTCTTAGCAGAGCAGGACATCTTGAAGAAGCGGGGGCGTTGATCAAGCAAATGCCTTTTCAATCCAGCGGTGAGGTTTTTGAAGCATTACTAAGTGGATGTAGAACGCATAAGAACATTGATATTGGCATCAAAACTGCGGATTATTTGTTAAGTTTGGATGCAACAAACGCTGGAATTTACGTTATGCTATCAAATATATATGCTGAAGCAAGGAGATGGGATGCAGTGGATCATATTAGAGGTCTCATGAGGAGACGGGGGCTGAAAAAAACACCAGGATACAGTCTGATTGAAGTAGGAAAGCAGGTCCACACGTTTTTTGCCGGAGAAGACTCACATCCAAATTCGGTGGAAATCAGTCAAATTTTGGAGAATTTGAGATTAGAACTCGAAGCTTCAGGTTATGTGCCCGATACTAGTTGTGTTCTTCGTGATGTAGATGAGCCAATGAAGATCAAATTGCTGTGGAGGCACAGTGAGAGATTAGCTATTGCTTTTGGCCTTCTAAGTACACCAGCAGGAAGCTTGATTAGGATCACTAAGAATCTTCGTGTATGCATCGATTGCCATACCGTGACTAAATACATATCAAAGGTAGTGAAGAGGGAGATTATTGTAAGGGATGCAAACCGTTTCCATCACTTTGTTGACGGAAAATGTTCTTGCAATGATTACTGGTGAAAAAGGATAGGATTATGAGTGAAGATCTCCATTTTTTTCCCAGATTGTTTCAGTAGCTCTTGTTCTCCAACTCCAACCATTTTGCTCTCAAAGTGCGTATGTAACACTGTAATGTTAAGCAGTGTGCTCTAACCTAATGACTAGAAAGCCAAACAAAGAAAATGCAACATCCCCATTGGCCAATTTCCATCATGTGTTTACAACCTTATCTCTAAATTGTTTTTTTCACATATATTTATCAAATGGCCAGGACTTTTTCATTTTTGTAGCTGTAAAAAGTTCTTGAACTTTCTTTAATATATTTCTTTTTTGAATCAATTCAAATAAGCTTTATGCTTCTTTTTCTCATTTGAGCTAATCATACATAAGTAATAAGAATAGGACAAATATATATCATATTTTTCTCTTTTTTTTTTTTTCAATAGTTACTTTTGTTTATTCTATTCAAATTCTCTCCTCACTTAGGAAAGAAAAAGTAAAAGAAAATACCATACATTTATTATTTTAATAGCTAATTCTTAATGCTTAGTAAAATCCCAATGAGGAAAGTCTTGGTTAACATAAATTACAATTAGATGCTTTATTATTACACTATTGATTTAAAAGTTTAACCTAAAATTTGTTCTTTTTTCAACTACTTAAACTATTAACCAACTTTATCATTAAATTCACTATATCACTTTCTATCTACATATAAAATTTAAAAACAAATTGAAAAAAAAAAGAAATTACTTTTTATTATATTTTTATACACATAAATATAAATAAATTTAAGTTTTTTATAAATAAATATAAATGATATTACTTTTTATTCATCTTCCAAATGAATCATTTATCCTTTAAACAATTTTTGTCACCCTAATAATTGTTGTTCTTCAAAGCTTTTCTTCAAAGCAAAAGTTACTATTTATAAAAAAATCCTACATACATAAAAAATATAACAGAACTTATTATAAAACCCAACAAAGTTTGCTTCTTTCTATGCAAATTTGGCCCTTTTTTTTTGTCATCATCACTCTCTAAAACTGTAGACAGAGAGAGAAACTAAAATTTCAACAGGAAAAAAAAAAAAAAAACTCATATTTTGGAATGGAGTGGAAAATCCAATATTTTTTTACTAGTATTCAAAGAAAATGCCACTTACTTTACTAGTAGCATTACTTTCTCACTAAAGCCCAGATATTTTTTCCATTATTTTCCTGAGAAAATTTTAAGTATTCAACAATAAACAAATACCCAGAAAGCCTAGATACGCAGAAGGTTATTTACCCTTTTCTTACTTTTTCTTTTTCGTTTTTAAGTTTTGGTTTATACCCAGATCGATTTATGTTTGAAAATTTGTTTTTGGTGTGCTTTGATTTGTTATATTTTTTTATTTACGATTTTGGGTATTTGGATCATGTGATCAAGGTGGGTCTTTTACATTGTTTTCTGGTGGATTTTATTGAAACTGTGGTTTCTGTTTGGTTGGTTGGAAATTATGGGAAAAGGAAAGAAAATGTAAGTTCTTTTCGAGCACTTCTTTTGAACAATTTTTTTAGCTACCCAATGGAGGTTTTCAGGTTTCTTATGAGGCTTATGATCTTTTTATTTGGTTTATCTTTTTCTATAAGGTTTGAGAGGGACACTTGAGAATTTGATGAAATCTTACATAACCTAGTAGAGAAGTAAAGATTTTGAAACTATAGTATTAGTTTTTATATTCTTTTTGTGTTTTTGGGTCACTAAATGTTTAAGATGAAAGAGAAGTTAGATCATTGTCATTTCAATTTTAGGGTGGCAAATTTCAGTATGGTTTTCAGGGCTTGTTTCTGTTGATAAATATATGTCTTATGTGTGTAGGTATGTACAAGAACCAATTGCAAGAGTTGGCTCAAAGAAGTTGCTTTAATCTGCCATCTTATTCATGCATCCGGGAAGGACCTGATCATGCTCCTCGGTTTAAAGCTACTGTCAATTTTAATGGAGAGACTTTTGAAAGCCCTACCTTTTGCTTTACTTTGAGACAAGCGGAACATGCTGCAGCTGAAATAGCTCTAAATACACTTGCCAACAGAGGCCCTTCCAAAGCATTGGCTGCAAGAGTTTTGGTAAGCATTCAATTCCAGTTATAGTTACTTAAATGCTATTTTCCTACTGAACTTTGCAATCGGTAGTCATTTTGTTGTCATGCTTTTTCTAGTCTTGGGAACTGCTTTGATCGTTGTAAAAGACAAAACGGTAACTTTTAGTTCCTCTTAATGGATGATATTTCTGATCAATACCAGTGTCCTTCGTGGAGATCTAACTATTCAAGTTTATTCATCTTCAACTAAGATTCAGTGACAGCTAACTGACCTTGTCTACCAGAACTACTCTTGTTTTAAGTATTTCTCAGATTAATTGTGACCCATGAAGAACACCTTGTGTTTGTTGGCATTTTTTTTCTCTATTAGTAACTCATTGTCAACTTTAGGGATGCCAAAGCCATATCTTGAACTTAAATTTAAGGAAGCAATGACTTAACATGTTTTTAACATTGGAAAATGGCATCATAGAATGGTTTAATTAGAAGTTGAGGTAATCATCTGCTGTATCCTTGTTCTCAATGAGATTTGGCAGCCCTCAGTTGGAAGATTCTAGTTGCAACCATGCATTATATCTTGGTATCTGTGATTCTGTGGTTTAAAACCCCTTGTAGTTCAAATATCTGCGTGCTTGCATAGCATATTCATTACATTTAAACTTTCCTTTTAACATGATGTGTCTGGGTTTGGTTTTTGGCAACTTATTTAGAATTGCTGAGCTATTATAGGAAGTTTTTGAATCCATTAACATTGCAAATTATAGTTCTATTTAAGCAGTGCAGATGCTAGAAAAAATCTGGATGTTAAGTGTTTTTCCCCCTCTCTCTTTGAGCTGGACTCTGCAGCTAATTTAATTTGTGTCCTTGTATTGCTGTTCGCTCCTTCAGCTTGTTATAGGAGAAACAATAAAATAAATTCTTTTGAGGTTTTGTCTACTGCACAGGATGAAACTGGTGTCTATAAGAACTTGCTTCAAGAGACTGCTCATCGAGCGGGCTTAAATCTTCCAGTCTACACCACTGTTCGATCTGGACCAGGCCATGTTCCTAGTTTTTCATGCAGGGTTGACCTTGGAGGGATGAGCTTTACAGGGGAACTAGCTAGGTCTAAGAAACAAGCGCAGAAGAATGCAGCAATGGCTGCATGGTCAACCCTGAGAAAACGTATGATTTCTGTCTTTTTTGTTAAAGGCTCCATTTCATTTAGAATCAAACAAGTGCATGGTTTATTCCTCTCCTGGAAGGGGGGGGGGGGGGGGGGGCTTTTGGGGCTAGATGATGAAGACAACATACAAACTTAGCCTGTCATAAGTACATAATACCATGCTATTTCTTTAGATACATGTTTCAGTATATTCATTCACAACAAAAATATTTCAGTCAAAGCTTAAAAAATCATTTTATGATTAGTTGTTATTTGAAAACTTTCTTACTCAATTTCTACTGCTTGAAGTTTTCCTTAATCACTTAATCTTCCTCTAGATGTTTTTGTTTGCATGTTTTCCATGTACCACAACCTAATATAACTTTAGTATGAATATTCTAAGATAGTATTGTGCCTGCAGTGTCTCAGCATGGTTCATCTTCATCTTCATCACCTTCATCACCTTCATTGGAGTCTAAAGGAAAAGAAGAACAAGAGCAAGTTGTAATTGCTCGATTCCTTTCTTCATTACGATCATCACAAGCAAGGCAGTCTATGCAAATTGATTGTCAGTATGAAAAGCAGAGATCAATTCCTGTTTGTCAAGACCTAACCTCACCAACCCCGAGCTTGTATTCTATGCAGGGTCAAAGTTGGGCTTACCCTAGTTTTTCCCCTGAAATGGCCATGCCCATATACCACATATGGCAGCAAGAACAATTATTGCAGCTGCAAAACCGCCTGTTTTCATTTCCCGTTTCTCCGGTTCCTTCAACTGGCCCTCATATTGTTCCATATATGCAGTCTATTTTACGCCCAGATCATCATCTGTCATTTCAAGCTAGGGACCTAGAACCTATCCCTACAGCTCCCGGGCTTGCAATTGCTACCTCCTCATGCCCTTCACATTACTCCTCTAATCATTCAACTTCACAACCAACCATGGGTAGGTCTACAGTGACTATTCAAGAGATTCATGAGGAGATAAAGGACGAATCATCCAAATACTCTCAGCCTGTAGTTATAGACCCGCCTGTTCCTGGTCAAACTAATGCTGAATTGGGTCTCGAGGAATCAAAACAGGAAGATCACAAACAGAAGAATGTTGAGTTGGACAGCAAAGGTGAAAATGTTCATAGGATGTTGGATACTGGTTCTCGGCCTGTCAACTACCAGTTAGAAGATCCACATGCTTTTGAGTCTACTTCTCATCTTAGACCACGGTATCCTCCAAGATCAAGTTCTTATAGAAATCCTAGACCACCATCTTCTGTTGCAGGTTCTGTGATGATCAGAACAGTCAGCCCAGTTTCTTCTGTGAGGCCACCCGCGCAAAAGCCAACAACTCAGGTGCCTGTCCCGCCAAGAATGAGAACTGGAGCTCCATTTTCAACCAGACCCAGGTTCGAAAGAACAAACCTCGGCGGTATGCATCCCAGTTCCATGGCACCACCTGTTAGAATAAGATCAGTTGTACCAGTGTGTTCAGCGCCACCACCAAGAAAAACACCAAGCTTCAACCATGAGGGAGTGTTGCCCAACAAAGAGAAGAAAGATGCAGTACCTGAGGATGTGTCAACTCCCACTTCAGAACTTAATAAGCTTAGTATGTAGATGGAGTACAGTAGTCTATAGATATCACAAGATGCATTTTATTTCTAGCTATTGCTTCTTTTTTCATTTTACTATGGAAATCATCACGGCCCGAGAGAGCTCTTTCATGCTTTTCATTAAGTAGTTAGAATCAATAAATAATAGCTTTTTAAAATCTGTATAAAACCGAAATTCATATTTTAAGCTTAGTTAAGATTGGTTCTATATACTTTATTATTACTATTATTATTATTATTATTATTATTTATTTATTATTTATTATTTATTCATAATTTGTGATTTGAATATAGTTTTTAATTTATTTTTATAAATTATTTACAGTAAAAATCGAATTTATATCTTAAAAATAAAATAATTTATGTTTATCAAGTAAATAGTTGAAATTTTCTATTGTCAAACAAATTACTACTATTATGTTTAACTTTTTTTATTTTTAATTTACTTTTAACCTCTTAATATTTATCGATTTAATTCACTTTAACATTCTAAATCAACTCAAAATTTGTTTCAAAGGGAGAAATTATTTATTTTGCTTAAATAATTTTTTTCTTGCACCTATGTCACCAATCACCATATCTGTCGTTTATGCCTACTACGATGGACGGCTATGATTAGTTTTAATCAACTTTGTGATATCATCATTGTCGTCAATTCTGTTAATTATACCAGTGGCCCCCAGGAATAGTCTATGAATATCTGCTCCGATTTTCTTCTCATCAAACAAAAAACTAAAAGCCGATTAAAAAAAAAAATCATTGCTGAAAAAAGTTTTAACGTAATTACCAAAGTACCCTTATGAATAATACGGAAATACTATATAAGCGGCGACTTAAAACCCTAAACCCCCGTCACCGCTCTCTACCTCTTTCTCTTTCAACAACGCGGCAGACCAATACAAAACTTAGGTAAAAACAGGGAATTAGGGTTTTTTTTTCTTTAACAAGTTTCCTCACTGTCCATTTCTTTTGTGTGATTTTGGCTTGCTATTGCTAATTCCGATTCTTGGTTTTGTTTACTGCAACTTTAACTCTAATGGGTTCCTTTCAAAACGCATAAATGTTGATTCTTTTAGCAGTTTTGTTTGTGATTTTGAATTAAAGAGTTGATTTTATGATCTGGGTATTAGAAAAAAAAGTTAGTGCTTTTTTATCATTTTTGGGGCCTTTGGTTTGAAGTTTGACTATGATTTTAACAGTAAGATTATGGCGATGATGTTTTAGGTCTGTTTTTATCTGGAAGATTGAGAAATGCTTGTGTTGTTCGAGACTCCGGCGGGCTTTGCCCTCTTTAAAGTATTGGATGAAGGGAAGCTAAATAAAGTTGAGGTATTTTTATCTTCAAATCTTGTGAGAATTAAGATGAAATCACTTTTTATGTATTTATGAACTGTGAAAAAGTACCTTGATTGAATGAAGTTAGTGGCTTTATGTTTTTGTTTATGAAAATTTTCAGTTCCAAGTTTAGATTGAAATATGTGATTTTCTTGTTGTAGGACTTGTCAAAGGAATTCTTGGCTTCTGACTCAGCAAGAAAGGTTATCACCTTTAAGGGTTTTGAGCACATTTGTTGTCCTTCATGTTATTGTCATGCCTTTTGGATCTCCTTTAACTAAAGAGCTGACCGATTTTATGATATTATTAGGTTGTGTCATTGAAAGCCTTTTCCAAGTTTGAAAACACAGCAGAAGCTTTGGAAGCAGCAACGAAACTACTTGAAAGCACACCCAGCAAAGGTCTGCGCAAATTCTTGCGTGCTCATTGTGATGGTGAAACATTAGGAGTGGCTGATTCAAAGCTTGGAAATGCAATTAAGGAAAAATTGGTCTGTTAATACTATTCAAATGCGGATACTATGGTGATATTCTTCTGTTTCATTCAGTTGAATCTTATTTAAGTAATTACATGTATGCAGAAAATTGATTGCATACATAATACCGCTGTTATGGAGCTGCTGAGAGGTGTGAGAACTCAGTTGACAGAACTGATATCTGGCCTAGGTGCTCAAGATTTGGCTCCAATGAGTTTGGGTTTGTCTCATAGCCTTTCTAGATACAAGCTGAAGTTCAGTGCTGATAAGGTACTTATAAGTTATAACAATTTCTTGTGAACTTGATTGAGCATTGTCTATTTCCTTTTGGAATGGGAAGGGTTTTGCTGGTAAGACTTTGTCGAACAATTCCCAATGGTAGAAACATATAAATAACTTGGTGTAAATTCAAGACTCCAGAGGAAAGATAACTTTAGTTAGGTAAATTTTCAGTTTACAGTTTAGGTCGTATATCATTGCCGTGTGATTTGACATCAATGACCTTGCTGATCACTGGATGAAAGCCATTAAAAATGTAAAATGACTTGAACATTTTCATAAAGCTAAATGTGGTGTTGCTGTCAGATTCTGATTGAGACTTCTCATTACAAAAGAATTTCTTGTTCATGTTTGTAGTCTTATTCTCACAAAATGCTTAAAGGCATTAATCTCTGTGAACCATTGGCATCTCTTACTTGGGTTTGAAGTTATCTGGGAGAGGCATTGATATGAGTGGGTGGTATGCTGATATAAAATGGAATTTGTGTGCTGTCTATTATTTGTTCTGTGTTAAAGAATTTGCTTAATTCTAAGACATTTGATTCTGTTGAGCTATTATATGACAGTGCTATGCTTGTATTTTTTTAGGTTGATACAATGATTGTTCAAGCCATTGGATTACTTGATGATCTTGATAAGGAGCTCAACACATATGCTATGAGGATTCGAGAATGGTATGGTTGGCATTTTCCAGAGCTTACTAAGATTGTACAGGACAATATCCTTTATGCCAAGACAGTGAAGCTAATGGGTGACCGTGCTAATGCCGCTAAGCTTGACTTCTCAGAGGTAAGACTTTCAATTAACTAATTAGAAAGCTAATAACTCGGGTTTGTTTACCGAGTGTCAGTATTATCAATATGAAGCTTGCCGTTAGCTTGCAAAATATTTTATTTTCCTCACTCTTGGGCTCGACATAAAGTGCTTGAAGAAAACTTTTTCCTTATATTTTACCAAGTTTTCTTGCTTGAATTTTCACAGATATTACCAGAAGAGGTTGAGACAGAATTAAAGGAGACAGCAGTAATATCCATGGGAACGGAAGTTAATGACCTTGATCTTATGAATATCAAAGAACTATGTGATCAGGTTCTGTCACTTGCTGAATACAGAGCTCAGCTGTATGATTATTTAAAGAGCCGGATGAACACTGTTGCACCAAACTTGACTGCACTTGTTGGTGAACTTGTTGGTGCTCGCCTCATCGCTCATGGTGGCAGCTTGTTGAATCTTGCAAAGCAGCCTGGAAGTACAGTTCAGATTCTTGGTGCCGAAAAGGCCCTCTTCAGAGCTCTTAAGACGAAGCATTCAACTCCTAAATATGGACTTATCTACCATGCATCCTTGGTTGGTCAGGCAGCACCAAAGCACAAGGGGAAGATTTCCAGGTCACTTGCTGCAAAGGCTGCATTGGCAATTCGATGCGATGCTCTTGGAGATGATCAAGATAACTCTATGGGACTTGAGAACCGAGCCAAGGTAAATCAGAAACTTGTGTTTGACTTATTTCTTTCTTCTCCTCAACCCCCCCTCCAACTCCCAAAAAACAGACAAAAGGAAAAATGTAGGGTATTTCATATTATATTTTGTAGCTTGAAGCAAGATTAAGGGCTCTTGAAGGCAAAGAATTGGGACGTTCTGCTGGTTCAGCTAAAGGCAAGCCTAAAATAGAAGTCTATGACAAGGATCGGAAGAAGGGGGCTGGGTTGATAACTCCTGCTAAGGTCTGTGAATCTGAATTCATAATTTTTTTAGATTTACCGTTTTGTCCCTCTTTAGGTGGTTACTGACGCCTTTCTTGTATACAGACCTACAATCCTGCAGCAGATTCTCTTCTTGGGCAAACAACAGACTCCACTGCTCTTGATGAGGAAGACACAGTCCCAAAGAAGAAGAAAAAGGTTGAGGCAGAACCTCCTCAGGCAGAGGAAGCAGCGGAGGCACCTGCCACTGAAGATAAGAAGGAGAAGAAGAAAAAGAAGAAGAAAGCTGATCATGAGGCAGGTTTGCCAACTAATGGAAATGAACCAGAAAGTGAACAACCTGTGCCAAAGGAAAAGGAAAAGAAGAAAAAGAAGAAACGTCAAGCCGAGGATGATGGGGAGAATGTTGAAGTAGGAGAGAAGAAAAAGAAGAAGAGAAAGCATGCAGAACAAGAAGAATCTGAAGTACAGACAAAGAAAGAGAAAAAGAAGAAGAAGAAGAGTGAGGATTGAGAAAAATCAAGAAAGTTTGTGGTGATTGGCTGCCTAACAAGTTTTGGGTAATATAGGCTTAGGCACTTCTACTTGTAAAATGTGGTATTTTGTTGAGTTGTTAATTATCTGGTAGTGTTCTTTAAACCTAATTTTGATGTATTTTCAGCTTCCTTAATGCAATTGCAAGGAAATATCAGAACTTTTTTCTTTTTAATTTGAGTTTATTTTCCTTTGTACTGATGTGGAAATGGAAACCAAATAGCCTTCCATTGGTTACTCTTCAAGCAGAGAGTTGAAAGCTTACTCTTCAAGCGCAGAGTTGAAAGCTTTTTCTTAAAGTTTAAAATCACTTAGAAGGTAACCAAACTAATAAAATGGTTATCCAGAGAGGATCTTCCTTGTCCTATTCATAATCTTTTGTGATAAAATAGCATAATAGCTATTCTCTCATGTGAAGACAACAATCATAGTAATGATAATGGCTTTGTTCTTCCTCCTCTTGTTTTAATTATATTGTTTTAACTTTTCACTGATATTATCATGGAGAATGAAGTTGGTGATCTTGACCTGATGAAGGTCCACTGTGATGCACAGGGTCTCTGTGCAAATATTAGATCACCATTGTTGCCCTGTAAATTGTCTCAGGGATCAGCAAGATGGTGCTTTGCCTCATTGCCCACAATAGCAGCTTGTTGGATCTTACAAAACAGCTAGCCTGAAAACAGCATTCAAATTCTTGTAGCAGAAAATGCCCATTTCAAAGCTTTTAAGGCAAAGCATTGGATTCCTATTTACATGCACAAATTTTGTTTGTAAACTTGTCTCTTTCTGTTTTTCCTGTTATTCTGAGAAGAAATTTCTTACTAATTACCATAAGTTATGAATATTTTTAGCTTTTAACGTGGTTAAGAAACCTTGAAAAAGAATTGACATATTCTGCTGTCTGCTAAAGGCAAACCTAAGTTGAAAATCCATGACAATGGTCAAAAGAAGGGTGCTGAAAGGAGGAGACTTATGACTACTGAGAAGGTTTGCATTCCATCGCAAACTTGTAATCCTTCGGCAGATTCTCTTAAGGCAAACAGCATATTCACTGCTTATTAAGGGTGGAAAAGAAATGATCTCAAAGAAAGTGTTTTTACTCTAAGCCTCTTCAATTGTTTAAAGTATTCTTGTCCAACACATATTCGATGGACATTCAAAGGATATGATTATAGAAATTCAACCTTTTAAATATGAAAAAGCTTAAAAAATATGAATATATTCGTATCGGTAGATCTAGAGATTTGTATATTTACATCATATATAATATTAAAATTTATATATTTATATTATATTTTACATAAAAATTATATATTATAATTTACGTTAACATGAAAATATAAAATTTTTATTTTTTATTTTATTAAATTTATATATAATTATTATTAAAAATTTAAATTATATATTTTTTTATATAATATTTATATCATATTTTAAATTATCAAATTCATGTATCGACACAAACAGGAAATCAAATAAACCATCTTGGCAGCAGAGAATGAGCAAAAAGATGGGGAATTTGTTGACTCCTAACTTTAGGAAAAAGAAAATAAAAAAAGTTGGTAGTGAAAGAAAATGAATGAGTTTGATTAAGTAGGAGCATTTCATTAAATTAAGGGAATTCCTGTATGTTTTAACTAATCTGAAAGTTCATAAATGATTGTATTTATAGTAAAAGAGACAAAGACTGAGCTGTTGTCATTTGGATTGTCCATTAAAATTAGGAGAATCTATCTTCTTCTGCTTTTGACTATACTTTATAGGATCTTGCTTAATTAAATACCAGTTTATTATTTGTCAGTTAAACAAGATTTTTCTTATTGAAAACAACAAAATTTGTTCATAACAAACCATGAAAAATAATAATAATACCATCAAGTTCATATTTGATTTTTTTTTTATAAATTACTTTTTGCTATTTAATTATTTTCAACCGATTAAGTCGTCGAATTTTTAATTAGATGAAAATTAATTAAAAATTTAAATCATCATATAGTTTAATTAAATAAAAACTTAAATGATAATTTAATTTTAATTTAAAATTTTTTATATTTAAATAAAAAAATACTAGCAATAACAATTATTAATACAGGCTTTTTAAAAGTACATTAAATATACTAGTTTCTTTCTTTCTTTTTAAAGCAACCTTGGTGGATTTCCATCTTTAGATGTTAATAGGGCATTTATTTATTTATTTATTTATTTTTTGGCAATTGTGGGTCAATATTAAAGAAAAAATGTTGATAAAAAGGGGGTAAAAAAATTGACTTAGGGTTTAACCAATGGCTGCTTTTAACCAAGAATTAAAGCTTAAAAAGGGAAATTACTTTGGTAAAACTCAAACTTTGACAGCAAACCAACACAATAATTTTTCATTTTGTGTCAAGCAACCCAAACCACTAAACCTGTCTCCCTTTACAAATAATCATCCTTTAAATTAATAAAATCAATATTTCACCTTAGATCTTAACTTATCCTCAGTATTTTAATCAAAAACTTGAATAAAACTCAAAATCTTATTTACTCAATGGAAAGAATTACTCCACAATCCCATAAAAAATTTGGTAATTATATTAATTATGATCAAATTTATCATTATATTATAATTTATTTTATATTAAATTTTTATATCATTTTATAAAATATAAATATTAATGGAGTTAAAATTTTAAATTATTTTATAAAATAATTTGAACACAAGTATAAATTTTTTATTCTCATTTTAAAATTTAAACTTTAATTTTGATTTAAAAAAATTATCAAATATATTAAGAATGAAAAATTTTAATTTTATAAATAAAATTAAGACGGTGATATATATTTTTTATATGTTTAAAAAAATTAATTTTAAAAAATAAAATATATATCATTATTTTAATCTCATTATTAAATTTTTACTATCTTTATATCAAATCATTTTTCTTTTAATTTTTTTATTTGATTCAAACGAAAAGGAATATGATAATATGTCGCACACTCTCTTTTATTTTTATTTTCATATTTTTATTTTTTATAATATAATTAAAAAAAAAAAAAAGTCTAAAGCACCGAAGATCAAGGGGACCAAAAACGTCTTTTTTTACCAATGAAACACTTGAAGAAATGAGAAATCTTTCTTCTCTCTCTTTCAGATTCAAGCAAAGTATCAGTTTTCTTCTCTCTCTCTCTCTCTTACAAAACATAACACAGAACAGAACTGAACCTCCAAACTCATTAAAAACATTTTTTTTTTTATCTAACTCTCCCTCTTTCTCTCTCTAAAAACTCTCTTTTTTTTTTTTTCTTTATTGATCTACTTTCAGATCATTTTTTATTTGACTTTCCCAAATTTCTTGTTAAAAACCTCTCAAATTTCACTCTTTTACTTAGTTCCAAGATAATTTCTTTTTAATTTTTTTTTTGGCTGAATCTTGGAACATCCTCAATCAAAGTCAAAGCACTAAAAGGGTAGGGCTTTATGATTTTTTGCACAGTGAATTCTAGCTTATCTTAGAGTTTAGATTGTTAGTTAAGTTGGGTTTTTGCTAATTTCATCTAATAGTCAACTTTTTTTTTTTTTTTGCAGATTTATCAGCTTGATCATGCATGTTAAAGTTGCTTGATTTATGGGTAGTTAACTATTTATTGTTTGGTTGTTGATTTAGAGAAAGACCCCGATTAGAATATGTCGGGAAATGAGGTTTAGATTTAAGAAATGGGGTGTGTTTTGGGAAGAGAGGTATCTTCAGGGATTGTTTCAGAGTCTAGAGAGAGTAAAAATGGTAGCTTTGAATCCAATAGGAAAATAGAAAATGTTACAGTTTCAAAGACTGATGATGGTGTTGTAGAGGTTGAAAATGAGGGTACCCAAAAGGAGGAAAAAGCTGATGGGGAAAGAAAACAAAGGGGGGAAAGGAGAAGGTCAAAACCAAACCCCAGGTTGAGTAACCTACCAAAGCATTTGCGTGGAGAGCAGGTGGCAGCTGGATGGCCTTCGTGGCTCTCAGATGCCTGTGGGGAGGCGCTTAATGGGTGGATTCCACGGAGGGCTGACACATTTCAGAAGATTGATAAGGTGGGCAATTTTGTTTTTGTTCAATATTCGTGTTTTTTATTGATTCTTATTGAATGATCATGTCACAATAGTAGCTTGTTTTGAAATGATAATGAATATAATTGGTTGTGCCACTTTAGTTGTGTTCTTTGTTTAATTATGGCATATGGACGGTCAATTTTGTCTTTAAATTGAAGCACTCGCCTTTTGTTGGATCATCTGGGATGCAGTTCAGTTCTTGGTTATGTTCTCCATTTGTTGATTTTTTTTTTTTTATGTTGGTATTTTGATTCAGATACTTACCTTTCCTTACTGATGGTAGATTGGCTCAGGAACATATAGCAACGTGTACAAAGCTAAAGATATGGTAACTGATAAAATTGTTGCACTAAAGAAGGTTCGGTTTGATAATCTCGAACCTGAGAGTGTGAAATTCATGGCTAGAGAGATTCTCATATTGCGGAGGTTGGATCATCCCAATGTTGTAAAATTGGAAGGTTTAGTTACTTCAAGGATGTCGTGTAGTTTGTATTTGTTACTTCAGTACATGGAGCATGATTTGGCTGGGCTTGCGGCAAGCCCAATAGTAAAGTTTACAGAGCCACAGGTTACCCCGACTTATCTTGTGATTTAAATTATAGTAAAATCCACGTTTTACTTCCCTGGCAAGATAGTTACTCTATAAGTATGCTTAATATGTATGTTACCATTGTAGATTAAATGTTACATGCATCAACTACTCTCTGGCCTTGAGCACTGCCACAACCGTGGAGTGCTTCACCGTGATATTAAGGGGTCAAATCTTCTTATTGATGATGAGGGAGTACTTAAGATTGCTGATTTTGGACTGGCCACATTCTTTGATCCGAACCACAAGCATCCCATGACTAGTCGGGTGGTTACTCTGTGGTATCGAGCCCCTGAGCTTCTTCTTGGGGCTACAGATTATGGTGTTGGTATCGACCTTTGGAGCGCTGGGTGCATTTTAGCTGAACTCTTGGCTGGGAAGCCCATTTTGCCTGGTCGAACGGAGGTAGGTTTTTGCTTCATTTGCTGCTTGTTCAGTTTAACATGCTTTGAATTATTGTCCATATGGCTGTGCAAGATTTTAGGTGGAAGGTATTTTGGCATCATTATTATACTTTGGAAGTTATTTCTTTCTTCTCGTTGATTTAAGTTAATTTCATGAAAAAGCTATATTCTGTACTTAGCGTATAGAGACTGGAAGGTGACATCTTGCAACCAATAAATTACAATATCATATATTGAAATGCTTCGGTGTTCTCTCTTTTCTGTTTATTGCACATTGAACGTTAAAAGGTGATATTCTATGTAGTTATACTGCTGCTTTATTGCTACTAACTATTTCTTTTTTTGATCGATTAGGTAGAGCAACTACATAAAATATACAAGTTATGTGGGTCGCCATCAGATGAATACTGGAAAAAGTCAAAGTTGCCAAATGGAACCATATTTAAACCTCGAGAGCCTTATAAAAGATGCATAAAAGAAACATTTAAAGATTTTCCACCATCATCACTGCCCCTTATTGACACTCTACTTGCAATTGATCCAGCAGAACGTCTGACTGCCACTGCTGCATTAAGCAGTGAAGTGAGTTCTTTGCTTTTAATTGACACTCTTGGGTTCTTTCTACTCTTTTTCATCTTTTGGCTTTCATAAAGATTGGTTTGAAGATACCCTTTTGAAAAGTGTCCTTTTTACCATTTTATTCTTCTTGTGCAGTTCTTCACAACAGAACCTTACGCATGTGAACCTTCTAGCCTCCCAAAATATCCGCCCAGTAAAGAGATGGATGCAAAGCGACGAGATGATGAAGCACGGAGGTCAATTCTTTTACTTTTTCTCTCTATTGACTTTAATCACTGGCTGTTTTACAAAACTGTGCTAGCTGATTAAGGTTGGAAATTGTTTCTATTTGATGGATTCTCATGATCAAAAGGGATGGTATATTCTCTTTTATTGTATGCATATGCATAAGAGCTTTTCCGACCCTTAAGTACTTACTCTGTTGGAAACCCCTTATGCACATACACACGTGTTTTCTAAGAGAGAGAGAGAGAGAGAGGTATAAACTTATGTGGTTTGCATGCACAGATACACAGATTCAGGGCTATCTGGATCTTACTTGCTTGTTCTGGAATGTGTTAAATGATTCTTCTGTATGTGGATGATAGAGCTTGTTATGACCTGAGGAACTTTGAATTTTTCTGGTCAGTTAGCTACTCCAGTGAAAAAATGTGCAATGTTTTTGAATCTTTCAATATGATTGCTTAAAGCATAGTCTTCGACATTGGTTCCATTTGAGTTTAATTACACAGTCAATTGTGTGGTAATTATTATTCTACCCATGGTTATTTACTTTGAAAAATTTCTTTCTTTTTATACTTAAGGCTACCAAGGATTGAACCCTAGTCACTAGAACTAAGAGTCCAACATTTTTACCAACATATCACATGATTGTTGGTGACTTCTTCAAAAAATTTCAATCTAAGCTATTTTGTTACAATTGTTGCAGTTCATACTTATCTTAACTTCTGTCCTCCTGATTACACACATGCACAGGAAAATGCATATTTGAAAGCAACCACTCATGTATCTCTCCTGTATATATTTCAACTATGAACTGCAATAAACCCTTTCTGTTTCTGTTATAATTGTTCAGAATCAAAGCTGCTAATAAAGCCCAGGGTGATGGTGCAAGGAAGACACGGACACGTGATCGTGCAAGGGCAATTCCTGCTCCAGAAGCCAATGCTGAGCTTCAGTCTAATCTTGATGTAAGTGTGATAATTCACTTTTGTCAACAACCACAATCTTGTGGGCCCAGATGCTTTCGTTTGCATATTTACTTTGAAAAGTATATTTTCTCTAAAAGCAGACATGCTTTTTTTCTTATCTTTTATTGTTAGATTTTGTTCCCTGCTTCCCCTAAGTAAATGAGCTAGAATTTTGAAAGCTGAGCTTTTGTTTGTTGCAAGTTGTTCTATTGCTAAATAGGAAGTTAGATATGCGGTGAATGCACAGTGACTCGTATGGAGATCTGGCATTGAAAGTTTGTATCTCATCTCTTGCTAGTAAGATAATTTGTCCCATCTTAATTGGGCGTAAATTTCAGTCTGCCAACTGAATATATTTGATAACACAGCTTTTGCTAATCTGTTCACCCCTTTTGTGACGACCGATCTAGAGTATATGTAAATATGAAGCCATATTTAGTAAGATGTTGACTCCGATAGATTCTAGGTTTAGCTGTGACTGCATTGAGACACCTGTTCAAATTTTTCTAATATTTTAAACCAATTTGGGGGTTCTCTTGTGAAGCAGAGAAGGCGCTTAATAACCCATGCAAATGCAAAGAGCAAAAGTGAAAAGTTCCCACCACCACACCAGGATGGAGCACTTGGGTATCCTTTAGGAGCATCGCATCACATTGATCCTGCCTTTGTTCCTCCTGATGTCCCCTTCAGCACAACATCATTCACTTATTCAAAACAACCAATTCAAACTCGGTCAGGTCCATTGGCCGACTCTGGAAGCATAGGTGCTCCAAGGCGAAAGAAGCATGTTGCAGGCAGTTCACACGAACCATCTAAACCTCCAACAGGATCCCAAAAAGAACGAAGTGATGACACCCGGGTTAAAGGAAAGAAAAGCATACTTTAAACACTCAGTCCATACATAAGAAAGAGATTTACAAAAGCAGTTCATTCCGTTTGCTAACAGTGTCACGGAGTCTTACTGCTACACGATGCAAGTATAATTAATAGGTTCTTGTTTGTTTTCTCATAGAAGCATGTATTGTTTTGTTAAGAATGTATCCAATTTTCTATATATTTTTTTCCTTTTACCTTTTTATTCTTTTTACCCCCAAAGAAGCTCTTCAATTGTTGGGATCCTGAGGATAAGTTTCCACTGTTATGTATATTTTTATATCTCAGTTCTTAAAGTTCTGTGTTCCAAACTTTAGATTAATGGAGACTGAAGAACATAAGAAAAAAAAATCTAATAAATGCTTCCAAATCCCGTTCTTCTTTTGTTGATATTTTATGTTTAAATTACAAGTTACTTGATCCTTTGTATTCATTACAGGCAGATCCTTCTTAGTTACAAAAAATGTCTTTTTCTTACAGGATATCGCTGTTTGTTTCCCTGTATAACGTGAAACATTTTCCCACCACAAAGTGATTGTCTTCTTCAGTGTGTTCATACTAGTGGACAATGATGTTACATTACATTTTCATTTTGTTCCTGTAAGGATAATTTGAGATTTCCTTCTTGTTTTTCCAATAATTTCAAGAACATACTGATGTCAATGGTGAATGGATGCTTGAGAATTCAGATACATTTGCTTGTATAAATATATATTATTGAGATTTTTTTACTGGACCGTAAATTTGTTTAAGAGTTAAGTTATTTGTTCAAACTCAAATATCTGATCAAGTTTTAAGAGAATTTAGATGAAAAATTAAAGCAATGTTTGGTTTCAAAAAACAAAATTATTTTCGTTTTTATTTTTTAGAAAATAAAAAATATGAGTAAAAACATATTTGATAATTAAAAATAAAAAAAAATTTAGAAAATAAAAATGAAAATGAATTGAAATACTAAAACCAAAAAAAATACTTTTAATTGTGAAAATAATGGATGTACTTTACTTTTTTCCTTATGTCTTACAAATTACCATATTTAAATACTTTTTAATGTCATTAATTAATAAATATATGTCATATTTATAATTAGATGACATTAATAATAATATCATTGAATATTTTATTTATTTCTTTATTTTTATTTTTTAAAATAATTTCTATTTTCGTTTACCAAATACATTTTTTAAAAAACAAAATATAGAAAATAAAAATTATTTTCTAAAAATTAAAAATTAAAAATTAAAACAAAAAATATTTTTTCAGAAATGCTTGTTAAATAGTTTAGGCATAATTTTAAGCCTGTTAAATAGCTTAAGTATAAATTTTAGACTCATTTAATTTTCAAATCAGATTTTGAATAAAAGAATTAAAATTAAAATTTGACCCGATTTGTTTTGAATAAAATATTATAATTACATAAAAATATATATGTGAATTTTTATTTTTATATTTTTTATAAAATATATATATTATTTTTATTATATAAATTAAATTTAATGGATAAATTTAAATTTATTTTTATAATTTGAATTGAACTTAAAAAAATTTTAAAATCTAAAATATCAGACTAAATTAAATTTAAATATATATATAATTTATTAATATCAAATATATAAATTTGACTCGAAGTCGGTTGGTTCACCATATAAATATATGTATTTTGAATAAAAAATTAGGTTTTAATCTTTCAGTTTTTCTTAAAATATATCTTGTATTAAAAAATTACAGAAAAATACTCGCATTTTCTTCAAAAAGCAGTAAAAGGAAGACTAAAATGACAAGAACAAAAAAGAATCAGCCTTGGGCTTAACTTGATTGCCAAGTTGTCTGAAATACCCAAATCCAATCCAAGTAAAGAAAAAAAAAACTAAATAAAAAGAAAATATTATTTCCCTTTTTTTTTTTGTTTTTTTAATATAAATTAATTAATGCTTATAATAACTTGGATCATCCCTGCAAAAGATCGTGTGAAAGCTGTTAAACCGCCCTCACTTTGCTAAACCCATTTTAAACAAACACCGTTCAATCTTTCTTTCTCTTTTTTTTTTTTTTTTTGAAATCTTCAATTCAAACAACGAAGGCAGAGACTTTCATAAGAAAACCCAATAGAAAGAAAAACCCAGAAAGGTTATAGTTTCAGAAAAGCAAAAACAGAGCAAAAATGGAAGAAGGCAACAGCAACAACACCATAGTAAACAATGTGGCCAGAGCCATTGTTGCAGCCCTTGATTGGAACTCTACTCCTGATGCTCGCAAAGCTGCCGTTTCTTATCTTGAATCCGTACTCTCTTGTTCTCTCCTTTTCTATCTCTTTGTATATTCTTGCTTTTGTGTGTAAAGTAATCAACTTTGGTTGTAATACTTATTTAAAGTTTATGTATTTGGTGAAAGTTTTAAGCTTCGATTCCACAGACTGGTTTTGAATTTGTGTAGAGTTGGAAAATTTTTTATCCTTTTTTGGAAGATTGATTAGTGGTTCAATTGAATTTAAGGGTTTAAGTTAAAGGGTGATTGCAATTTGCTTTTATGGACCTGATAGCTCTCTTAGCTTTGCATGTGTTACAAGATTGGTCTGTTCCTTGTATTTCTTTTCCTTTGCTTTTTTCAAATGGGTTTTTGGGTTTTAGGTTGAGTGACGAACTTTTGATTTGGGATTGATTAACTTTCGGTCTCTATGGAGGTTTCAAAGTCTTCCTTCTGCAGTTTCTACATATATTTCTCTTCTATTCTGTGGTTTTCAGCTGTTTAGGATTGGTAAATGTACAATGCTTATATGAAGATTGGGTTGAGATTTGGCTATATGTGATTGGGTTGTGTTTTATCTATAAGTTGTTCTATTCAAATTCAAGAGTGAGCCTTAATTTGATATTTGATAACTTTGATTCCATAGAATGATTTTAACTGTTGAAAAACGGATCCTCTTTTTGACATTTTGATGGTTTATTAGTAATATGCTTTGGATTGTAGGACTTCAACAAGCCAGGATGAATAGTTAGGCATTGTGCTGTAATTTTTAATCATGATTCCAAAATAAATCAATTTTTTTAGGGTTTATGTTTTCTTGTATCTTTAATATAGAGTTTAATTGGTTAACTTTTGTTTCTTGATTAGTAAAGCTGAACTCTAAAAACTATCAAGGAGAGAAACCCTGTTAAGACAGCTAAAGTCTTCCTATGAAAAGAGCTTACGAAATGAAGCTTAGGAAGAGCGGTCTGCACCCCTTGCAAATTAGAGTCTACTTTAATCTACAAATGACTGCTAGATCATAATGAAGTGCAGTATTTATTTTCATATCATGACCCAAGATACTTACATGTTTTACTTCGATATTACTTTAGTGACTTATCTCTCTTAAATATTTGCAGATCAAAGCAGGAGATATTTGGGTTTTGGCAAACACATCATTCCTTTTGGTAAAAAAAGATTGGTCTTCAGAAATTCGGTTGCATGCATTTAAAATGCTGCAGGTTCAAGCTCATTTACTATTTTTTCCTATTTGTTCATGCTCCATGCCCACTTTGAAAAGATTCATTTCTTGGTTACCATTATGTTAATTATGATGATAAATGTGTGTCTTGACAATAAGATACTTAGAATCTTAATCTCTATGCCTCTATGCAGCACTTGGTTCGGTTGCGGTGGGAGGAATTCGGTCCTTTAGAACGTAGGAACTTTGCAAATGTGGCTGTTGAGTTGATGTCTGAAATTGCCGATCCTTGTGAGGAATGGGCTTTGAAAAGTCAAACAGCTGCCCTTGTTGCCGAGGTTTTCACCACATTGCCCAGGCTTTTGTCTTATTTGCTGTGCCTCTGATTATCGTTTTTTTTCTGTTATAATTCCTTTTTTTTTTTTTTTTTCGTTTTGTTACAGATAGTTAGAAGAGAAGGACTAAATCTATGGCAAGAGCTGTTTCCTTCTCTAGTTTCCCTATCCAGCAAGGGCCCTGTACAAGTAAAGCTCTTTGTAACCTACATGTAGTCATGATCTTTTTCTATCCTTGAATCATGCATTGGATGATTCTGCTGATTTTTTCGATTTTAGGCTGAGTTGGTCTCAATGATGCTGAGATGGCTTCCTGAAGATATTACAGTCCACAATGAAGATTTGGAAGGTTTTAATCCACCTTGAGTTCGATTTTGTTTTTGTGCCAAAACTGAATAATTTCATTTTTTCATCTCCCAAGATCTCAAACGTTTTATTGAAACTTCAGAAGTAGAATTCATTGTTCTTTTTTCTTCCTTTGTTTTCATTACTTTTTGTTTTGAGGCAGTGCTATATTATATATATATATATATATATATGATGTTTTAAGCTTCTTTTGTAAAATTTTCATTCAGGTGATCGGCGTAGATTATTGTTACGTGGGCTTACTCAATCTTTGCCAGAAATTTTGCCACTACTGTACACAGTATGCTTCCATCTTTTCCTAGAACATAAGTTGCTTCTTTTGGCATTATTTTATGATCCTTAACTCTTGGTACAGTTATTGGAAAGGCATTTTGGAGCTGCATTGAGTGAGGTGGGTAGACAACAACTGGACGTTGCAAAACAGCATGCAGCTGCTGTAACAGCTACTTTAAATGCTATAAATGCCTACGCTGAATGGGCTCCTTTGTCTGATCTTGCTAAATATGGCATCATTCATGGGTATGATATTCTTCTTTTCACTTCTCTAAAGATGAGATTTTTAATCATTGTTTTGACCAAGGATTTAAATTGCGGTCGTAGCCACATTTTCGGTCGCATCATATTTATTATTGTTGCGGATGTAACGAATAAAATAGTGGTAGTTACGCTCATTACGATTGTGAATTTTTTTCTATTTTACACAATTTATCATAAAATGAACTAAATAATTATTATAATCATAATAAAATTTATTTATGATATTTAAAGTAATTTTTGACATTTTAATTCTTTCATTTATATGTTAAAATAAAATTTTTAGTTACAACTCATAAGTTAATAAGTACATCTAACATGTTCGTTAACATATTCATGAATTTTATGGACACGAATGTTATAAATACATATTTAATCTTATTAGGAAGAATGATAATGAACATTAAAATTTTCTTTCATAAGATACGATTATCGGGGTAAGGGATTAAAATATAATCCTTGAACATAGGTGCTTGTATTTTACCATTAAATCAAATACACAAGTGCAACATTTTAAATAATTAATTAACAAAAATAATGTAATAGTTAGCAACATAACCATAACCAAACTTACAAAAAAAAATCAATTAACAATAATATCAAAATTATATAATAAAATTAATTCTTTTAAATTAAATTATTGTACATGTATTAAATTATAAAAAATTAAATTAACTAATTAAGAGCTAACATCCCTCTTAAAATTTCATTTAAATCAGTAAAAATTTCCCAAATATTCATTTCCCATCTGTATTTACTTTTCTCTCCAATCATTTCACCTAAACCCAAAAAAAATCATCAATTTTAGTGTTTAAAACCACATGACATCAGTATCAGCCTTCACTTTGTAAACCAAATTCTCAGTAAATTCCAAACCCATTTTCTTCTCTTCTCTCCAATGGTAGAGTACGGTCTTCAGCCTTCAAAATCCCCATCCCATTTTCCTCTCTTTCTAGTTCCTCCTCTCTCTCTACTTTTCTTCCCCATCTTGCAACAGAGTCACCAAATACAACCAACCACCCTCTTGTCTTGCTCAGATCCTCACTGCATGTCCTTCAAGAGATTTTAAACTTCCATGTCTCATTTATCTATCCCTCTCAAGAGTCAAAATTGGAGAAGACAACACAGAGCACAGCCTAAAGTCGACGGGTGTGGCAGCTAGATGAGAGCTCTTTCTTCAAACCATCCGTAACTCAAGTTTCAAAAAATGGTTGTTTGTTTTTTACCATGAATTAATTTCATTTTTTAGTTTGATTGAGGCATAAATTTGTTGGATTTTGACTTAATTGTTGGAAGTTAGGGTGGGTTTTCTTCTCTGGTTTGGTTTTATTTATTGTGTGATTTGATTTGAAAATCTGGAAAGCGGCTGTAATGTCCTGTTACAACTGCTATTGGCCGTATGCCTCTATTTGTGGCCGCAAAGCTATGCTATGAGTGTGATTGCCATTCACAACCCCATTGTGAGTGAATAGCAGTGGCAGAGGGTACTACTACCATTACCACTAAATGGCGGCCGCTACACCACAACGCTGGTGCTATTTGAAACCCTGGTTTTGACCCCCTTCCTTACTCTCTATCTCCCTATTTTGACAGGTGTGGTTTCCTACTTTCTTCTCCGGATTTTCATCTTCATGCTTGTGAGTTTTTCAAATTTGTCTCTCCAAGGTATGCTTTATGGTTTACATAATTAAGATTTCTCACGTGGAAGACTACTGCTTGACATTTCAAATTCTGACTTGCAGAAAGAGACCTGCTGATGACTCTGCTTCTGAATTTGATTCTGCAATGAGTAGCATCTTTCAAATCTTGATGAATGTATCCAGAGAATTTTTGGTTAGATCTAGCTCAACAGGTGGGGCTATAGATGAAAGTGACTATGAGTTTGCAGAATATGTATGTGAAAGTATGGTGTCTTTGGGTTCCTCAAACTTGCAATGTATTGTCGGAGATACCACTACATTCTCTCTCTATTTACAGCAGGTAACGACTTTCAAAAGATTATGCCAAGGTTTTTTAAAATTGCTACTTTTTGGTCTTTAATTCAACTAAAGTTGTATGTTTACAGAAAGGTTTCCTAGCATGGATATATTTTAGTCTATATGCCAAGATTGTGAAGCATATTTTTTTGCTAATTTTTTTGGCTACTTTTATTGAATGATGAGTAATCAAAATCTTCTGATTATGACCTAATTTTATCTTTTCAGATGCTGTGGTTTTTTCAACATTTTAAGCTAGCTCTTCATTATCAATCCCTGCAATTTTGGTTGGTATGTAGAAGTTTTTGTAAATTATTGTAATAGCAAAGCATGAGTAACAAATAGCTAACTTCGAATGAATTTCATGTTGTTTTATTTTACTAGGCACTAATGAGGGATTTGATGTCAAAGCCAAAGCTTTCAGTTAATTCATCTGGAGATGAGCCAGCTGCTACCAATGTGGGCTCTACTTCAGCTCAGGTTGATAATGAAAAGAGAAAGATTTTAAGTTTTCTAAATGATGATATTTGTAGTACAATTCTGGATATATCTTTCCAACGCATGCTTAAGAAAGAAAAGCTTATCAGTGGCTCAGCCCTTTCTCTGGGGGTTTTGGAGTTGTGGAGTGATGATTTTGAAGGCAAGGGTGATTTTGGCCAGTATCGTTCTAGACTGGTAGACTCTATCACCTCAGATGCATTTATATGTAGATTTTAGATGTAGCTTCTTTTGATTTGGAAATTCAAGCATAAACGTACATATTTTTTCCATTGCAGTTTGAGTTAATCAAGTTTATTGCTTCAAACAAGCCTCTTGTGGCTGGTGCTAAAGTTTCTGAAAGAATTATTATGATCATTAAGAACCTCTTGAATTCTCCAACGCCTGCTCAGGTTTGGTTGCCAACCCTTTTCATCTCATTCCTTTCATGATACCTTGTCTGTATGTTTTCAGGCTTAGAAGCTTCACTGTTATTATCTTTCCCAACTTTCAGGACTTAGCTGTGATGGAAAGCATGCAAGTGGCTCTGGAAAGTGTTGTTAGCTCTATTTTTGATGGATCAAATGAGTTTGCCGGCGGTAGTTCAGAAGTTCACCTGGCTGTGTGTAGAATATTTGAAGGTTTGCTAACAATTTTTTCATATTTGATTAGGCGCTCTAGGTTTATAATACCATGGCTACTGAAAAACTTTGTTTACTGTGAATTGAAGGTTTACTTCGGGAACTACTTTCTCTGAATTGGACTGAGCCTGCCCTTGTGGAAGCACTCGGGCACTATCTAGATGCAATGGGTCCCTTCCTCAAGTATTTCCCGGATGCAGTTGGTAGTGTCATCAATAAGCTTTTTGAGCTCCTAAATTCACTTCCTTTCGTTGTTAAGGTTCTCTTCCTATTTTTATCTTTGTTTTGCCCTCTTACTTGCAATAAGGACCAAGAATTATGTCTTTTTTACCCAAAATTTTGTTTGGCAGGATCCTTCAACGAGCAGTGCGCGACATGCAAGGTTGCAGATTTGTACATCATTTATTCGAATAGCCAAAGCTGCTGATAAAAGTATTCTGCCTCATATGAAGGTGATTCCGTTGAGCAGAATAATAAAATTGTTAATTGAAGTTTATGAAATGCTGACTTAGATAGTTTCAATTTGAGGAGTAGATATTGCCTACCTTCTATTTAAGCAGCGTAATCTTTCATGCTTAAACTAAAATGAACCTACTTCCTTGCCATGTTTCTGACTACGGTTTATTGTTTTCTTCTGGGACCATAATTAGGTCAATAGCTAATTTAAAGGTCCCCTGTCATGCAAGTAGTTGAGTCATTCCAATTATGAGATACTTGTAACCTTATTTGCTCCTGTTTGTAGTGTACATGTAAAAGGAATGGATACACAGGAACTTTTACAAATGAAAGATCCAGATCAAAGGCCTTAAATTGCCATTTTTCAATCTGTGGAAAACTCCATGAAACCACTTTTCTGTGTATTACTAATGAGATTCTAGCTTGTCACTATTATTACAAACCTAAGGTGTTATTCTGGAATGTTACAGCCAATCCTGCATATCACATGGGTTGAATCACTCATAGGTGGGGAAGGGGTAATAGTGCATTGTTGCTAAACTTGTTAAACACGACTTCCATTCCGTCAATCTAAAAAAATAGCTAAATAAGGAGAAATGAATGCCTTAAAAACTAATTTTTTTTCAATCTTTTTTATTTTCCAAGGATCTCCTGAATATTCCTTTATATTCCAAAAGTGAACTTCAATATTGTTTGCAGTAGGAAGGCATTGTGAATTTCTAAATGTTCACTGCTTCTTTAGCTGTTAAATTTGAGTAAAAAAGTCCACATAGTCCTTAAGCAAATACCAACTAATGTGCGCTCCATAAGGAAATTCATTAGAATCAGTCACAAAGGTTTAGATAATTAACTTTTATGGCTATCATTTCCTTGTATGTTTATTAGAGCCAAGGCAACTTGAGTTTTGGCAGAACATTATATTTATTTCATGATGATTCTTATGCAGGGTATTGCTGATACCATGGCATATTTGCAAGGAGAAGGTTGTTTGCTTCGTGGTGAACATAATCTTTTAGGTGAAGCATTTCTTGTCATGGCTTCTTCTGCTGGGTAATTACTTGCTTTAAGTGTTTCAATCACCGTGTAAAGCCTGGTTTTTTTGCTTATTATGGCAAATTTCTCTAAATGGAACAGGAGTCAACAGCAGCAAGAAGTTTTAGCGTGGTTACTTGAACCCTTGAGCCAACAGTGGATACAAATAGAGTGGCAAAATAATTACTTGTCTGAACCTCTTGGTCTAGTTCGTTTATGCTCTGAGACAGCATTTATGTGGTCACTTTTTCACACTGTGACATTTTTTGAGAAAGCACTTAAGAGGAGTGGTATGAGGAAAGGCAATTTTAACTTACAAAACAGCTCATCAGCAACTTCTATCCCACATCCAATAGCTTCTCATCTGTCGTGGATGCTTCCTCCTCTCTTAAAAGTATGCCAATGTGTTTTAGAACTGACCCATAATTTTTTTTATAGATTTTCTTAATAGTATTACTTCCTTAAATGAGGTCCATTTGGTATTGACTGAATCTTATCTAGGAGATAACACAGAAACAGCCTGTTACAATTTTGTTGTTCATATGCAGCTGCTTCGTGGTATACATTCGCTTTGGTCACCATCCATATTCCAAATATTACCTGGAGAAATTAAAGCAGCAATGAGTATGAGTGATGTGGAGCGATCCAGTCTTCTTGGTGGTGGGAACCCCAAATTGTTTAAGGGTGCACTGACTTTCATAGATGGATCTCAGTTTGATGTGAATAAGGAAGGATATACAGAACCAAATGAAGCTGACATACGAAATTGGTTAAAGGGTATCAGAGACAGTGGGTAAGTATAGCATCCTGTACATATCTAACTTAATAAAGTAAATTTCCAGTATTTAATGTAGTTGTGCTCTTTCTGATGTTTGTATTTTCTCTTAACGAGTGAAAATTACAAGTTTATTACATTAATGACAAAAAAGAACAATATTCGAGAGAAACACTGCACCCTTAATGCTCACAAGAAAATGGATGGCACATAAACTGAAGGATCCCTTAGCAATGTTTTGATTATGTCCAATATAAAATCTATTTTTATTGGGCGTATATTTGGTGCAAAAGAGCTTTGCTACAGATTATTAGCTGTCTAGATTTGAACACAGAAGCATATATTAATTTGAAAACTAAAAAATGAAAGTTGTTTTATGGGTGCTAAATAGCTTAGTTGGTAGATTGAAGAAAGGAATACAGGTTATATCCCACCTTCAGCAAGGGTTGGGGAGGCCTTCTCCATTTTGTAGCCTAGCTACTTGACTGAAAATTGATCTAATAGTTGAAATGGCATACTTAAGTCATCATCTGCTCATCAAGTCTTTTCTAGTTGGTGTTAATGCATCTTCTATAATCATAGGTACAATGTATTGGGCCTTTCTACAACCATTGGAGATCCATTTTTCAAATGCATGGACATTGATTCTGTTGCTTTAGCTCTAATCGAGAATATACATTCAATGGAGTTCAGACATACAAGGCAGCTTGTTCATTCTGTTTTGATTCCTCTGGTTAAGTCCTGTCCTCCAGATGCATGGGAGGTATGGCTGGAAAAGCTACTGCACCCATTATTTGTCCACTGTCAGCAAGCTCTGAGCTGTTCATGGTCTAGTCTTTTGCATGAAGGCCGGGCAAAGGTTCCAGATAATCATGATATTCTCACTGGATCAGACTTGAAAGTTGAAGTAATGGAGGAGAAATTACTTAGAGATTTAACTCGTGAGATATGTTTGCTCCTCTCTACTATAGCGTCACCTGGATTAAATGCTAGCCTTCCTTCTTTAGAACATTCTGGGCATGTTGGCCGCGTGGACATGTCTTCTCTGAAAGATTTGGATGCATTTGCATCAAGCTCTATGGTTGGGTATGACATTGCACTTATTTCTTTTAGTATTAACATGTGGCTGTACTTTTACACTATGATATTTATTTTATTCGGTAAATTCTAATTTCCTCAACATTCACATTCGTTTGCAGCTACCTTTTGAAGCACAAGAACCTGGCAATTCCAGTATTGCAGATTTCATTAGAAGCATTTACTTGGACAGACAGTGAAGCTGTGATCAAAGTTTGTTCTTTCTCTGCTGCTGTGGTTCTTCTAGCTATATATACAAACAATGTGGATCTCCGAGAATTTGTTTCAAGAGATCTATTTTCTGCAGTCATCCGAGGTCTGGCCCTTGAGTCAAATGCTATTATCAGTGCTGATCTGGTTAATCTCTGTCGTGAAATATTTATATATCTCTGTGACACAGATCCAGCTCCCAGGCAGGTTAGTTTTGGATCTAATCTCTTCATATTATGTGGGTACACTCTGATCATACAAGTGCCTTGAAATGCTAATTGAAGGATGTTTTTATTGGACTATTCCAGATTTTACTCTCCCTTCCTTGTATTAGCCCGAACGATTTACATGCCTTTGAAGAAGCCTTGACAAAGACTGCTAGTCCTAAAGAACAAAAGCAGCATATGAGGAGCTTGCTTTTATTAGCTACTGGGAATAACTTAAAAGCTCTTGCTGCTCAGAAAAATGTAAACGTTATAACAAATGTTACAGGTACGACTATGAGTTTTTTTTACCTTTTCTTTCTATTACTTGGATGAGAAGGAATCCCTTGTAGGTGTAAATCTTGGATACCTCTACTATTTTCTTTGTTAAGTTCTATGGACACATGCTTACTAGTTTATCATGCTCTCCCTTTCAGCGAGGCCACGCAGTTCAGTCAATGCTCCAGAAAATAGAATTGACCAGGGCCAGGGGGACACTATAGGCTTGGCAGCCATTTTGTGATGGAATTGCAGATTTGGTGTTGTACAGAAAGTTTAACCAGGAAAAAGGAAAAGAAAAAGAAACATCTTTGACAGAGATGGAAAGCTTTTTTTTTTTTTTGGTATTTATCAGAGTTGTGAAATCGATTCATCCACCTGTTGTGGTCTCAAATAGAAAGTAGATGGCATTACCCTTGTGATTCTGTCACCATGTATATTATCTTAATATTTCTTTCATCTCTTTAGCTGATTCTGAAATCAAACTAATATTTTTGGTGGTGGCAATCTTTGCAATCTGGTATTCCTTGTTTAAAGTTGGCCTGTCTTATGCCTATGATGGCATGCAGCCAATCATTGAGGGTTATTATTATTATTTTTTGGCCACGCGCTCGAAAGCAGACCAGCTGATTTGTAGATAAGATTCCAACAATAGATCACACGATCGATTTGACTGACAGATTTGGAGATGGATGGAACCTGATAGAACTTTTCAATTGCCTCATCGGTGATTTTCACACTGCAGAACACTTGCCAGGTTTCTTAACGGGAAGGGAGCTCTCTCTGAATGCACAGAAGTTAGTAAGGACAAGAAAAACTGTAATGGTTGGGATACAAGAACCCAAGTATGGATTGCCCATTTCATTTTAGTTCATTACTAATTGAAGGTAGTGTGAAAGCAAGCTTTTAAAAGAGAAAAAATAACTAGTTTATGATTGTTTACTTATTTAGTTATTGTCAATCATCTTTTGAGTCTCACCTAAGATGACAGGATAAAAAAGTATGCGGAAAATCGTTTGCCATGGGAAACGTGATACATTAAAAACAGTTTTAAGGGAAATTCAAACAGGTTTTGAGAATGGTAGGTTTGAGAAGAATGGCAGTTGGAGAACTAGACTTTAACATGGCAGATAAAGTGCATTGGTAGATGGGATTGGATCCTTCTAGTCTAAGTAAAGATAAACTGCCTATAAAAATCCCCTCCCAAAGCCTTGGTAGCATTATCAACTCCAACAGCATTTTCCATCTTAGCATTTGTTTTGTAAGAGGCTAACCTTTTTTTATTTTTTTATTTTGTGCTTCCAAGTGTGGAAGTTTAGAAGTTGTTGCTAGGGAGAAAATGGGGCCAGGGGGACCAGGAGGGCCACCGGGGTGGGGCGGTCCTCCGCCAGGGCCCGGGTTTTTCGGAGGTTTTTGTGATATTATTGGTGCCTGGTAACTTGCATTTTAGTTTGCTTTAATCTCTTTCTTGACTGACTTGTTTTAGTTGCCTTTTATCTATTGTTTTCGTGTCTATAGACATTATTAAGGCTAATAATCATGATGGTTTTTCATTGGCAGTGCCAACTTTCTGTGCTGCTGCTGGTTGCTTCAAGACTGTTTTGGTGGTCCAATGGGTCCACCTGGGCCTCCTGGACCACCAGGATTTGGACCTCCACCATAACCACCAGATTTCTACCTCCTCCAAATACAACTGCTCTCTGGGATTTCACCTACCTATCTATATGTAATGTGTACTAATAATTTGTTGCATTAATTTTAGTAGAATTTATGCTTTTGAGATATGAATGAATTGATTCTGAATAGATAGATCTTTCAATCTTGTTATTTGCTACCATAAACATATGGATTTTATTTGATAATGATTCTATTGGCATGTTGAAATTTTCTAACCATATGATTAAAATAATATATCTCTTTAATGTAAATGTCATAAGAGTGGATTTTTAAAAATTAAATTCTGACAAATATGTGGAAGAATCAAATAATCATGGGCCTCTACTTTGGATAATCAATTAATTAAAAGATATTTTATTGTCAAAATAATCTAATTTTTGTCACATATCTTAAAAGTTAAAATTGAATAATTACAACACACACGATTATTTTTAATGAATCTATTTTCATTGATATAAAAAATTAAAAAAAAATTATATTCTAATATATCCAAACTTTGGTGGTCCTTGTGACTTTCAAATTCCTCTGAATATTCTTGACATAGTGCATGCATGCATGACAAAACAGAAATGAAAATCACATCTTTTTCTTTTTTCATCTAGCAAATGGGGGAAACATAAGCATAAACAGATAAACACAATGCTTTCAAGTTCTGATCTGTTCCCATCTTGTTGATTTATTGTTAACTGATATATATATATATATATATATATATGGGGATTGAAACCTTTTTGGAGCAAATCTCTTTAAACTGAAAGGAATGGATGGAGGGGAAGATTAGAAGGGAACAAAAGTAAAAAAAAAAAAGAAAAATGAAAAAGAAAGATGCAGTTGGACCAGGAAGCCATATGTACCATTGGACCTAGTATTATGATCAGGTAACCAACTTGGTTTGGCAACAAGTGAAAATGACTGAGAATATATGCATGAAATGGACAGCTTGAGTATGTAGCAGAAGGTATGAAAGTGAATTAGTGAAATAAAGTGAGCATTATGTTTGTACCTTTCATGGAACTATTTTAGGAATGTGAGCATGAGAGATGGATGGTTTTGGGGAAGGGTGACTTTATGGGAAGAGAAGACCTCTTTGTCCTAGGTATACAAATTACAAAAGTGTTCCACTTATGAGCTATAACATGGGATCTTCAAATTAGTGTACATATTTTATTCTCGAGCATTTGGTTTAATAATAAGTATACGTATTCTTTGTTTAAAGAGTTGAATTCAAATTTCTCGTATAAACACACAAATTGGCATTTAAAAATAGAGTAAGCAACACAGCTAGAGAAGAATCCACCCCATTAAACTTGCTAACTTTGTGTGAGACACAATTACATGTGATGTTGTGAATTTGGTGACTTTGGGAACAACTTTGCTCATTTGCATCATATTGTTAAATCCCTTTGGCCATGATATGAGTTTTCCTTTCAAATTTTAGTTGTCATTGATCTAATATTCGGTTAATAAAGGACATTACATAGTTCTTTCTGCAACTATGATGACTGATAAATGCTAAATGGACGTATATATGATCACCTTTTTATGATTTGTTTCTTCAATGTATGATTAATATTAGAGAAAGAGAGAGATCATCTAGAGAAATTCTGAAAACACAGTCACAATATATTATTCCATGTGTTGGAAGATTATGCATATAATATCAGAATACACAACTAATCACTACTACTTCAGCTATCTTCTGATGCATATTTAAAAGAACAATAAACTTCAGTTTTACTTATGAGGTTTAGTATGACATGTATCATTGGTCCTTTTAATTTTTTTGCCTTCTGTTCTTCCCCTCCCTTCTTTTTTTCCATGAAAATTGAACTCTTTCTAAAAGAATAGAGGTTAAATTAGAGGATATATGGGGATCGCGGCGCGGTATAATATCTATCTCATGCCTACCTCAAAGTTTTATGTTCACCCTTGGAGCTGGAATCATATTCTTTGGTGATTAACTGTATCAGATGCAATGAAATTAAATCAATGCTTTTCTAATGAGCATTATATAGTAGGAGATATATAAATGATGGTGCTTTCAAGTGAAATGGGATAGTCTTATCACCACATATACTCCAATAAGGAAGCATATATTTCAAAGCAAAAGAACAAATTGTAAAAACTTTGAACACTTTAAACTGTTTTATAGACTGATGGCAAGATCAAGATTGAGCAAGGAGATCTGTTGTTCCTGTCAGCCAATCAAAGCCAAAAGAATAACGCGAAGACGATGCTCAAGCTATATTTATAAAGTATAAACATACGCAATCTCTAAACTAGGCAATATTCTTGTAAACACTAATCATGAATGTTGAAAAGCATCAAACTAATTAGATAAAAGCGAAAAAAAAGATGGGAGGGAACCCATTTTTTGTGGCTTTGGGTAGAGAGGAATAACCAAAAATTCTTGACTTGAGAATATGACTCAATGGCTTTAGTTTGAGTTAAGATTCTTACATTCCCATTCCTTAGGAATCTTTGATAACTTTTTTTTTTCCACAAGGGAATAACATTCCGTGGTCATTTCTCACTTTCTATATCAACCAATGCTGTCACTTGTGGTCAACAAATGGTGACCACTAAGAATCTTACACGTGTCTTGCTTATGATTGAACTAATCCTTAATCTGATATTCTCGGCCATGGTGTGGTGTTTGCTCTTTTCAGTGCTTCTTCTCTTCTGGTCCTTGAAAAAGTAAAATTATATTAACACAGAATCCATAAAAAGGAAATGTAAGTACAAGGAAGAACAAATGTCCAAAGAATAACATCCTTGGAGAGATCAGAAGGAAGTAACAGTATAAATAACAGTATTACAAAAGTTAACTATTCTTTTGTACACCAAAAACAGCTGGTTTTGGAGATATATATTTGGACAAAAGGACTTGGAATACTGAACTTCAATTTTGACAACATCAGGGAAAGTTATAAGTACTTTTTATGTACTCAATGTTGGAAATATTGGGTCCTTAACAGACATGAACTGAAGTACTACCACCTTGTTTGTTATACTACAAATGATTTAGGTACATGCGCTTTTTGAACATCAAATTAAGTTCTTGTCTGTCAAAACAAAGCTTGAACAAGACTGTGGGATTGGGATTAACTTTGTTGCAGCCTAAAAACATTGGTTAATGTGTCACATCTTTAATTATGAAACTGGAAATTATATCAGGTTTTAGTCAGCCTGTTTTAGATGCTCTCACATGTTTTATTCATGGTGGGTTGATTAGTTATCTTGTTCATAGTCAATTAGTCATGGAATCAAAGAAAAAAGGGAAATCATTGTATGAAAATGTACTCACCAAATTTATCCTACTCTTACTGCTGTGATATTTCTTTTCTCATTGATCAATGTCCATCAGAAATTGAAAAGTGAGTTCAGATAACTGAAGCAATCTAACTCTGTAACTTGGAGGGTACCAGATAATGCCTCTTCTGCAATTATATTCCTATCCACATGCAATCAAACTGTTTTGAGATTCTGCTTTAATACTTTGTCTAAAGGCATTGATAGATTCTTCCAAACTGCATAAAAATATCCTGACATATCAGAATCAATTGATTTTCCAAAAAGGCCGGTTCGAACTAATGTGAAGACATTATACAAGGAATTGGAATTTTACTTATAATTGGTTTGACACCAGCTCCTATAATCTCTACATAGATTGCTAATGTTTGTTTGCTCTTAGAAATTTCTCAAGCACTCATTTTAATGGGGTATCTGCATATCAGATATATCCTCATTCTTCAACAAGTTTTCTTTCTCTATTTTGTTGGTTTATGATTTCGCAGATTTGGTCTCGATCACTTAATATACGAATTTATTCTGCATTAGCTGTTGATCATGCAGAAATTATTCTTGTTTATTTTAAGTAGGTATAGCATAATTCATGGTTTATTGCCAAAATCGGATCCTTCGCTGCAATGCTAGCTGTAGCATAAGCATAATGAACTTGCAGTTGACACATTGCATAGCTTGCCAAGTGCAACTCAATATGAACAATTCAAAGTTTTATATATATATATATATATATATATATATTAGTTTATGAGGATGGTTGACTAGTGTTTAGTTAGCATAGATAGAGCATGTCCTAGAGGCCAGGGCAAAGCTTAAACATGTATATTTTGGCTTTGTTTATGAAGAGAGGATAATAACATCGGAAATGTAACTGATTTTCAAGTATTTCAAATGGTGAAGTCAAACTTTCTTGGCCTGCATGATTACATAATGCATAATTCCATGTTATCTACGTACCGGTTCATGCAGGAAGGAGAAAAAGGAATAATTTGCATGAGTTTCATGGATTTGTACATTCATTCAGCTGACATATCTGTGTATATAGAGAGTGGGATGCTTAAGAAACGTTTTCTAATAGGGTACTTAAGATAAGAAAGTAATCAAATATAGAACGAAGAACGTATAGATTCATACAAGAGAATCAAGAAAAGCACACAAAAGCACAAGGGATCAAGGGGCCAGGGTTTGTCATGTATTTCAACAAATGCAAGTATGGGAGCAAGTACAATCCTTCTTTTGTTCTTTCCATCGGGTCCCAATATGCTTAGGATTCGACGTCGAGGGCCGGCTGTCTTATGCCAATTGCAGAATGGAAAAGATTTCGGTCCCCTTCTTCCTTCTAAACAACACTGTTAAGGCTGAATAAGTACCAAACTTACTGAAGGAGGCAAAATGGAATGTATTCCTTTATCCTTATTCCATTCCTTGCCTCCAAACTATCTCCAAGAAAGCATCTTTGCCCCATTTTATTTATTTTTTTTCTCTTATGTATCTGATTCCAAAGCTTCCTGGTGCTCCAGTCAAAGGAATCTTCTCCTATATTCTCCAAATATAACCAGTTAAAACTTTCTTCTATGTCTCCATCTACTCCCTTTGATATAGATAACATCGAAATAAACCTTATTTATATTCTCATTAGTTCACTGTATGTACATTGTTAACCGAAAAACGACTTCAACAAGGTGAGGATGAAGTTATTAAGAGTTCTTAGAATCTTCCTTGAAGTTGAGAGCATGGAGGGTGAGCAATTTTTTGAAGTTGGATTCCCCTAATCCAAGTCAGAAAATTCCCTCCCCCCATCTAAAACCCAGGAATAAGATTCTTGCCTTTGCCAGTAGGGACGAATTTGAATGCTCACCAAAAAAAATTTTGGTGGACAAATTCCAGTACCTAATGCAAATCCTGAGGTGTTTCAGAAAGTTGGTTGGGCTCAGGAATTAAAAATGGCTTGCACTGTCTTAGAATAGAAAGCAGATTTCAAGGGTATATGGCCCACAGTTAACAAAGTAGGAGGGTCACTGTGAATATTGGATCTGGTCAGGTATTCCATCAGCCCTGTCCCAGACTCTATGCTACTGAAAACTCTACCCTATCACCCCCCCCCCCTATATTGCTTTATAAAGCCATGCCTGGGGTCATCTTTGGCTTGTGAGAACTGGCCATAATAGAGAGGTGACAAGTAAGAGCAGCAGGTGAAAATTTCGTCTAAGGATCAGTTTGAGGAAATTTTGTCAAAGATTATAGACAGCAGATTAGAGATCAAAGAGAGGAAAGTAACGCGTGCATCAGGTAAAAGCAAAGCTGATACCGAGCATGATACTTAGTTGTAACTTGTAAGTAGTGCTTCAACAACATGCTCAACTTACATTTGAGTTCCTTTTGGAGACAGAAAATGTACCATCATCAGCACCAACATCAAGGGAAGAACATCCACCCTTCTTCGAGAATGTCTATTCCTCCTGAGAGGCATTTGTTCCTGAAAGGTGGGAATGGCCCTGGAGATTCTGGTCTTGTTCTCTCAACTGATGCCAAGCCAAGACTGAAGTGGACGCCTGACCTTCACGAACGTTTCATAGAAGCTGTCAATCAGCTTGGAGGAGCGGATAGTGAGTTCACAAAAAAGTTCAAGAAGTGCCAAAGTAAATCCATGCATAAACTGCCTTTGGCTAATGCAAATAATTGTACTTTATTTTCTGTTGCAGAGGCCACTCCTAAAACCGTCATGAAACTAATGGGGATTCCCGGCCTTACCTTATACCATCTCAAGAGTCACCTTCAGGTAACTTATCAATTCCATCTGGAGAATTGTCTTCATAAAAGTAAGAGGCTGTCTAATGTTAAATCTAGTAGATACCAATTCTGTCTTTCCATGAAGAAATCTAGGTGGCTAAACCATTTTTTATTTTAAACAAAGGAGGTCACAGTCTGAGAACAAGAGACGGGATTGCAGATACTGAAATTTGATTTGAACCTCAAACCTACTGGACGTTACTTCTTAACCATGAACTAATTGAACTAAGCTTCGGGTTCCGATAAACCTTGTTGTATAACAAAATGATGGTGAAATTCAAGGTGCTGGCTAGTTTGGCTAGTAATATCCCTTGATGGTTGCACCAAGTATGTGGGATTGAAACCAATCTTCACAAAAGATTTAGAGGGGGTTAAGGAATGTGGAGGGTCATCCCTTGCTGTATTTCCCTGTCATTAGATCAAAAATGGAAAAAACAAAACGATGGTTAAACTCCAAGGATGTCCTAAAACTACAGTACAATCCAGTTAATGTTTTACAAGGGCTAATTATATCTCTCATTGTGGCTGCAGAAATACAGGCTAAGTAAAAATCTCCATGGACAAGCTAATAATGGAAGTAACAAAATAGGTAAGAGGAGAGTGTTCCCCGTCGCGATCGAAAACTTCAAATAACAATTTTCCTGTTGAGAGGTTTCATTCTGAAGATTAAATTTTAGTTTAATGGATATAGGTGCAGTTGCAATGGCTGGAGACAGAATGCCTGAAGGAAATGGGACGCATATGAATAACTTAAGTATTGGACCTCAGACAAACAAGTAAGAGCATAAATGACCTTTCAATCTTTCATAGTTTGCATTCAGTTTTCAAGATGTTTCTTCATTTAGTGACTTTGATGTTCATAAATCCAGAGGCATACAGATAGGGGAAGCACTGCAAATGCAAATCGAAGTACAAAGAAAGCTGCATGAGCAGCTTGAGGTACATAACATTATAATTTTGGAAATGATTTTAAGGTTAGTTGGCACTCAGCTGCATTCTGATGAGTTCTCAACTGAAGCAGGTACAGCGACATTTACAGCTGCGCATTGAGGCTCAAGGGAAATACTTACAGGCAGTGCTGGAGAAAGCCCAAGAGACTCTTGGAAGACAAAATTTGGGGACCGTGGGGCTTGAAGCAGCCAAAGTTCAGCTATCTGAACTGGTGTCTAAAGTGTCCAACCAATGCCTGAATTCAGCATTCTCAGATTTGAAAGACTTGCAGGGTTTGTGCCCCCAGCAAACACAAGCAATTCCACCCACTGATTGTTCAATGGATAGTTGCTTGACCTCCTGTGAAGGATCTCAGAAAGAGCAAGAAATACACAACAATGGGATGTGTTTAAGACCTTACAATAGCAGCTCACTCTTGGAGCAAAGAGATCAGATAGCAGAAGATCCACTACTACCGCAAAATGGGCTGAAGCCATTCGAAGACATAAAAGAGAGCAAAATGTTTCTCTCCTCAATAGGCATAGATGCAGAAAGAAGAATGTTTTTTGCAGATCGAAGCTCCAGTGATTTATCCATAAGTGTAGGATTCCAAGGAGAGAAAGGGCATGGCAGCAACAACAACAACAACAACAGCAGCAGCAACTTTTCTGAGAGAAATTTTGAAGGAAGAAATGAAGAAGATAGTTTCCTAGACCAAGGAAACAAAAGGGCAGAAACGGTTAACAGACTACCATACTTTCCCACAAAGCTGGATTTAAATGTCCATGACGAAAATGATGCAGCTTCAAGCTGCAAACAGTTTGACCTGAATGGTCTCAGCTGGAGCTGAAAGGATTGATTCTTCATGACTAGAGAAAGTGAAAGAGACAAAGTTCAGGATATTGGTATAATCCAATCTTAGTTAAACATTCGAAAAGGAGACTCGGGGAAGAAAATGCTGCTGTTTCTGAATTCTGATTCAGGCCAGCCTGCCAAACCAAAATCAAATTCAATCTTAATTGAATAAGTTTGCAGCAACAAAGCTAGATAGCTTCTTGCAACTACATAACATTAGATATTTCCAGCTGATCAATGTAGTTTTTTTTTTAATCTTTTTTCTATCTGATCATGTATCATTTAAGACGAGACCTGATGGATTGCAGGAAACATAGCTTGATCTGATTAGAGCTTTGCTTTCATTTGTACCAGAATAACTTTTCAATTTTAACATGCCAATATATCACATAATTGTAGAATCAATATGGTTTCTACTTGTGCTTAGTTTCAACAACTTAAAAAAATTATAGTTCTGTATTTGATGTTTGTAAATGCAAAATGATATAGAAAGCTGTGATTTTGTTGTTGCTCCTGATAGAGAAAATGCATGCTACTTAAACACCATTTTAATTCTCAAATCATATCCCTTGACAAGAAAATACTTATATAGAAAAAATTTATGGAACTTTTTTCATGTACTAAATTATGTTCATGTAATCTGACACTCGGAATTTGACAACTCCCAAATTTTAATTTATTTTCAATGGGAAACAACCACTAAGTTAATTTTTTAAAAATTTTATCTAAATTCTATATTAAAATTTTCTCTTTTTTTCTCTGAATTTATCTATTAAAAAATATTTTAGAGTTTACTTGATTAATAGTATTAATTAGAGATATCTTTAAAAGTCAAATTAAATTAAATTTAATTTGTTTATATAATCACGTACCAAAATTAAGTATATGTAATTTTTTTTCTTATTACGAGATTTTCAACCTTCTTTGTACAAAAAAAAATGATCTAATTATGCATATATTCAACTAATTATTATAAAACATAGAAGAAATGGAATTTGAAAAAAAAAATTATTTTATTTATTTTTTTATTGGTAAAACAAACTAATAAAATACAATAAAAAGAAAATAAATTTGTTGGACTTAAGTAATGATCCAGGCCAGGTCATTTTATCTTTTTTTTTAGCCCGGCCCATCTTGAGAAATTAGCGTGTAGTTTTCATTTTATTCATGGAACGATGTCGTATGAACTCCACAATCCACAGTCCGCACCCAATGTATCGTCGTCTTCTATGTCCATTTGTTTTATAGTTAATTAAAGCCCTAAAGAGCGAAAAGATCTGAAAACTCACTGAGTCGAGCAAAGTTCGACTCGACACTTTCGAGAACTATAGAATTGAAAAATCAATATCTGCTAGGATTTTTTATTTCTTTCATTTGGATGATAGATTCTCTCTAATTCGCCTTCGAAACAGTCCGATTCAACAATGGGAGCTAGTCGCAAGCTTCAAGGAGAGATCGATCGTGTTCTGAAGAAAGTTCAAGAAGGCGTCGATGTCTTCGATAGCATCTGGAACAAGGTTACCCTTAAATTTTCATCAATACAAATATTTCTTTCTTTTTTTTTCGTTTTTTTCTTTTGTGTTTGGTTCCCTAGAAAATACAGGAAAGTAGACACTAAAATGGTAGTCGAATTTTAGTTTCGGTGAAATTGAAGCGAACATTGCTCTTAACACAGTCTCACTCCTTTTTGAAGTGTTTTTGGAAATATTTTAAATTTGTTTTATTAATTGTTAATGATTAATTTTTTTTCAATTTTATGTTAATAAAAAGAAGAAAAAGAACATGTTAAAGGATCTAAAGATGTGTTTCTTTGTTCGAATAATTAGTTTATCTGTAGTGCAGATTGAACTGTGAGTTGTTGATTGTTTGTTTTTTTTTTTTTGGATTTAATTGCTGTTTCAGGTTTATGATGCTGATAATGCGAATCAGAAGGAAAAGTTTGAGGCAGACTTGAAGAAGGAAATCAAGAAGCTACAAAGGTATAGGGACCAGATCAAGACATGGATTCAGTCGAGTGAGATCAAGGATAAGAAAGTTTGTCACTTGTTTCTTGTCTTTTTAAATAATTTTTTTGCATTGTTTATTTGATTTATTATGCTTCATTAAGTAATTCTTGTAATTGTGATTGCATTTCTTACTGTTATCTCATAGTGTATTTGTGGTGTCATTGACACAGATTATTATCTCTTAGTTTATATGCGATGCTTAACAAATTTATTAATTGTATACTAGTATTTATTGATTTGCAACTGATGATAGTTCTTTTTTGCTTGTGTTGTTTGCCAACATAGGTTAGTGCCTCTTATGAGCAGGCCTTGGTGGATGCTCGGAAACAAATTGAGCGTGAAATGGAAAGATTTAAGATCTGTGAGAAGGAGACTAAGACAAAAGCATTCTCTAAAGAAGGCTTGGGCCAACAACCCAAAACTGTAAGCATAATGCTTGCCTCTTCACTGTTTCTATTTCCTATTAGTGAATGATAATAACAGCATGAACTAAGCCTATGGCCACTAAATGGAGTCTGCTGTATGGGTTTATATTGTGCCATAGCACTCATATCAAGATTATTACCTGTTAGTGAACTAAACATAGGAATCCAATGCTACAGTCTAGGTTTTAAGTGGACAGAGATCAAATCAAGATTATTACCTGTTAGTGAACTAAACATAATGAGTGGTACAGTCTAAGTTTAAGTGGACTACAGACCTTTAATTGGTCTAATTAAATACTTGACCTTGTTTTTTGTTTGATGATATTCAACCATCCTAGTCAAACATCAAGTTGTGGACTTGTGTTTGCAGTAAAGATAGGCAAGACTGATCCTTTTTCTTTTCCTTCTTTTTTCAAACTCTCTTTTGCGTCATCTTCCCAGCTTATTACGTAGGTCTTTACATCTTGAACCCATCTACCTCTCTGTATGAAATTAATATTGATTGGAAGCATGAATTTTCAAAATTTTCCATTTTATTTGATTATCTGTGGTGTGTCAATTTCATTGTAGGATCCAAAGGAGAAGGCTAAATCAGAGACAAGGGATTGGTTGAACAATGTGGTATGAAATCTACCTGTTCTTCCCCTTTTTCTTGCTTGTGTCTAAAATGGCTGCAACCACCCTATAGTGATAGTTTTAGTTATTCCCATAATATCTTTTCCATTATACCTGTTTTTTTAAATAAAAAATCCTTTTTTAACTTCCAATACTATTGAACTTTTCCCTTTATATAATAGTGTTTTTGTGTAATTATTACATTTTTACTCAAGCTTAGTGTTATCTTGAAACTAGTATGTAACGTACACTCTTTTGCTGAGTAGGTTGGAGAGTTAGAATCCCAGATTGATAGTTTTGAAGCTGAGATTGAGGGGCTTTCTGTGAAGAAAGGAAAGACAAGACCGCCTAGACTGGTAGAAAAGAGAAAATACATTTTGAGACTACGTTCTTTGCTATGATATAACTTTGTTTCCTTCTGTTGTTTTTCTCCCTTCAGACACACTTGGAGACGTCAATTACACGGCACAAAGCTCATATAATGAAGTTAGAATTGATTTTGAGACTATTGGACAATGATGAATTGAGTCCAGAGCAGGTCAATGATGTGAAAGACTTCTTGGATGATTATGTGGAACGTAATCAGGTTTTTGTTTTTTGAATTTCTTTTTTTTTTTTTAACCAAAAGCATCAGTTTTGGGGGTGTTAAAAGGATCTGCCATTTTTTATTGTAAATTGTTTATTTTTATAAGAACAGCATCATCTATATGCTCTCTTTTGGTCATTTGCATGGGTTTTTACTGTTATATATATATATATATATATTTCTAATCGTTTTGGTAGGAGGACTTTGATGATTTTAGTGATGTTGATGAGCTCTACAACTCACTACCTTTGGACAAGGTGGATTCTCTTGAAGATCTGGTTGCAATAGGCCCTCTTTCCAAGGTAAACTCTTTTTGGCCATGTTGGTTCTGCCTGAAGATTCTAGTATCATGCCTTCGAGAACGCAATTCAAATCAGTTTTCTCTTGTGACATTGCAACTTACTAAGACATTGTATTTATTCCCATATTGTTTTTAAAATGTTCAACTTGAACAAGGCCTCTTATCTGGCAAAAAACAAACGACTTTTGTCTTGTCTATGGTGTTCACCAATTTCAATGTATCAATTGGGTTCTTAGATTTAAGTGATCTTTTAATAGAATAGTGCACGGAATGGCTTCTTTCATGAAAAATAACTTGGAAAAGGAAATCTTAATGTTTGGCAGGCTGCACCAATTCTTGGCTTGAAGACATCTTTGGCATCATCAGCATCTCAAGTGACTGTAGGTGTTCTCTTTCTCTGTCTTTTGGATATTTAATGATGCACTCACATGTATAAAAATGTGCCAAATTGTCCAATATAAGTTTCTTCATGATTAGTTGAGGGTTTGATTCTCACATTGATGAATAAGAATGAATCATGGTTTGATCTAATAAACAGGGTAGTTCCCCCCAGGAGCATGTTGAAGATACTGCTTCCCAGGATAGTAATTCTGATATAGCAAGGACTCCACCTTCAAAAAGCAGTGCAATTAATTCTTCTCCTGCAGGAACACCTACTGGGAGTCATGCAGCCCCTGCTCTGGTGAATCTTCCACCTCATAATTTGTCTGGTGCTTCAACTCCTTCGGTTGTTCTTCTAGGCTCAAATTCTGCTCGAGGTATCTTGGAAAACACAGGCACTACCAATCCTCCATCTCCTGTAAATTTGCCAAATGCTACAAAAGAAGAAGATATCACAAGCTTCCCTGGCCGTAGGCCATCTCCATCTCATGCTGATACTGGAGTACGAGGCATTGGTAGAGGAGGCCTCTCCAGTCAGATTTCATCTAGTATTCCCCTTGTTTCTGGAAGTGTGGCTTCTGGCAATGGAGCCCTTGGTGTTGTCCCTTCAGTCTCTGACATGGCAAAAAGAAATATTTTGGGGGCTGATGAGAGACTTGGGAATAGTAGCATGGGGCAATCTTTGGTATCCCCTCTTAGTAACAGAATGATCTTGTCTCAGACTGCCAAGGCTAATGATGGAAGTGCATCTGTTGATTCTAGTAATCCTAATGAGTCTGCTGGACTACCTGGCAGAGCTTTTTCCCCTTCAATAGTTTCTGGTATGCAGTGGAGGCCTGGAAGTTCCTTTCAGAATCAAAATGAGCTGGTATGCTAGTTTGTCATTGATCAGTATCCCGTACATGTTTCATGTTTTATACAGTAGCCAATGTGGTTGTATTTTCAGGGGCAGTTTCGTGGAAGAACTGAGATAGCACCTGATATTAGGGAAAAATTTTTGCAAAGGCTCCAGCAAGTGCAGCAACAGGGCCATAGCAACCTGCTAAGCATGCCTCCTATCGCTGGAGGAAATCATAAGC